TTGTCCGATATGAATGAATATGTTTGCCCATGATGCATCCTACAACCACCATGATGTACTATATATATATATATCTATATATGCCATACACGGAGTGTCTGGCCTATGGTCAAACCAGAGCCAGTTCGCAGACCCGACTCCGTTTCTTTTTGGACGACCTTTTTGGGAGGTGCCTGCGTTGACAGGGGCCGAGCGGCGTCGGTGTGTTTGGCGACTCTGGGTGGACACGGGGTCGGCGGTCTGCAGCGGTCCAAGGCCAATACCACGGCCATTGACAATCGTGGTTTGCCACAGAAATTCAATGACCTCATGCCGGATGCTGAGGAGAAAGCGGTGACATCCGCTGTTGCTGTTTGGACTTGTTCTGGACGTGTGCAACAGGTGAAAAGCACCAATGTAAGCTGAACTGTTGGTGAGATTTGATGATCCGAGAGTGGCGCAGAAACACATGTTCAGTCTAAAATCCATTTAGGTGGTGTCTTGGGAGTTTGGCGTTTTGGAACCGGGCCGGTGTTTAATCCCGAAAGGCCTTGTATAGATTCTATTCAGCCGGTCTCATGTGTTCTCATCCCAGTCAAACCTTGTTTCATGCCTCAACAACCTGTTTCAACACCTTACAGATCTTACAGTGTATCATGTTCAAGATCTGCAGCCGTGTCCTTTTTCTTGCTTGATCAACAACACACCAGCATTGGTGAGACACCAGGGATTGCTCAGACGGCCCAGGGTCGAGCGTGGCTACTTCAACATCTCCATGTCGGATGCTCAGCTAGCCTAGTGTTGGAATGCACTTGATGAAGCCAATAATGCACATGATGAAGCCAATGTCACAGTCACTCGACAGCCATGAGTTGAACTGGTCACGCTGGTCACTGTGATCTAACTATGCGTACATGTACTTATATAACTGGTCAGCTGACCCAGTTGTGGCCCAGGTTTTCACCGACCCAGGACTCCGTGGATCACCTGCGAACCCCTTGTTGGTTGATATGGGAACACCCCCACTCAAAAGCAAGCCAGCCCGGTAGAAAGTTCTTCGTTCGCTCTGCCATCGTACCAATTGCTTGAAAACACGGTGCCGTTTGTGACGGTCGAATCGGAGCGAGCGACCGGTGGCCTGGCCGACCGCCCTTCAATGACCGGCTTCCTCTCGGTGTTCGGTTGGACGTCCACGTCCACCAATGCCGGCTTCCTGGCCCACCAATTTAACAGGCTTTGATCGAATCAACGAATGGCTTTTACATCCCATATGAAGTTGAAACAAATCTTAGAACCCTTTTGTAAGACCCTTACCATCCAATACTTTGGTCGATCAACTCTTTTTTTGGCAGGCCGAACGGAAGTCCAAAGGGAATAGATGGCCCGGCCGTCATTCTGTGGTCAGAGGGTGCGTACCAAGAACCGTCAGAACAAAGAAGGCTTGTCACCTCCTTTTCGGGGAATGACCTGCAACTGAACCATGATCCGCTGGGCACGGGTCATGGGACATACATGGATATACCCAATGTGTTATCAGCCACTGGGCCCTGGTACTGGGACCCCTGGGAGATACCCGATGTGTTCTTATAGATTCCGGAAACGTCTTATGACTGCAGGCCGAGCAATACCTTGCACAACTATGTGTGCAACAACATTAGCACGTGCCCCAGAGGGACAGACGATGGTGAGACGGCAACACACTGAGTAAATACTTGCACCGCAAGTTTCTGGCAGCACCGCAAGAGAAAGAGACATGTCTAGAATCGCAGCCTCAAAATCATGCATGTCTCTATATGGCCAAGCAGCTTTGGCTGGACCCACACAACCTCCCCAAGGACTTGTTCACTGAAGACGGTCTTCTTCTCCGGTCCGCGGGCTTTTCTTCGTCACTCAGGTGCCTACACCCTGGCAGAGGATGTGAAGGCTCTCATTCGACAAGTCTATGCCAGGCGCGTGGGTCCGCTTGGGACGTGAGGGGGGCTCACCCGTCCAAATCACTTGCTTGGAAGAGAGCAGCATACCCAGCCATCCATGGAATGGGGGGACATACATCAACCCCATGTAGGATCCTCTAAGTACCCACGCCATACGGTATGGTATCTGCGTTTGCACCGCACACCGCTTGTCTTTGGTGGTTGTTTGATATGAGAATCCGAAGACTGGACCATCCCATCTGACGAGCCGATCGACGCAGCCGGATCCACACCGCCTGGAGCGCATCCACGGGCGGCGCAGGGACTTCGACCTGATTTGCAACCTGTTCGGCTACTGTGACCGTGAGGAGGCCGGACGCAGCCGGTGGCACCGCATGCGGCGGCACCGCATGGCATGCGGGGCCAAAGTTGGTTCAAAAACTGGGCATGGTCAGTTTGCGAGATGAAGTGGCCTGATGAACTTGAAAAGAATTTCAGATCAATTAACATGATTCAATGGAATGTCCATTTAGATAGTACGGTCACAGCTCGATCAGAAGCCCGCTCAAAAAAACAATGGAAGGTGAACATGAACTAATTTGTTTGTTCTCAGGCACTCTGTGGGCCTGGTATATATGCCGTGCCCTACATATACACCCCACGTCAACCCGGTCCGGAACTTGAGTCGAGGTCACATGCCTCCAGCAAGTGCCCAACATGCTCGAAACCTCAGCAGTGGCGCTCCAAACCGAGCGATGACAGCAGTGGATATTTGTGGAGAACCATGGAGCTCCTCTTATTCTTTTTTGGGATTGGCCTTGGACCAATCAACGCAGGAAGGTGTTGAATGAACCAGCGGCAACATTGTTGACATGAAACCCATTGCTGTTTCAAAACGAGATTGGAATCAAATGACGCTGTTTCTTCTTCAGATGACGCTCCTGGACCCTCATGGACCCTCCCCCCATGCCCTCCAGAGTGTCGAATCGGGAGCCTCCTCAGCCATGGACGGCTGCACTACCTGAGGTGTGGTGGGAAGCCGGGGACGAATGCCTCCGCCTTTTCCGCCGACGCGGGCCAGGCGCACGGACCCGGGGAGAGACGGGCCAGGCGATGGCGAGCGTGAGATGGCCATGGGGTGGTCAGGTCTGAAAGAAACACCAAGAGTTCCAGTGATTAAAGGTGGTGTTTTGACCCTTCCCGTGATTTGAGGGCTGGGGTTTATATCGATTCTAGATACCAAGAGTTCCAGTGAGAAGCTGAGGTGGTGTTTAGACTCGACCCATGATTTAAGAGTGGGCACGGCCGGCACGGCCCCATGGTCACTGATACGTGTAGATAGGACATCATTTCATGTCCTGTTTTGATACATTATTTATACCTAAAGCCTATCGGAGATGATTGGAGGTGTTGCTCAGACTGGTGACGATTTGTTGGAGTATCAGTATCCTAGTTGCTTTGCATGATTTGCACGTTGCTTGTCAAGAGTATTGCAAGGTCTTGGCTATTCTCCTAAGATGCATGGCTTTCCCTTCTCCCCACGACGTATTTATATTTGAATTTGTTTATTTGAAGAGGCGTATAACATCGTATTGAAATAGGTTCCAACAATTTTCGGAATCCCACCTCTGCACAAAAAACGTTCAACATGTTGAAACATGTTGCCTTGATCTTGCAGGATGTGCGATCCAGCCTCTTTCCGAAATGGCCTTGTGGCAAACCTGGAGAATGACGCTGTGCCAGAGCCCGGACCCCGTTGAGAGCTTGCAGTAGAGGGAAGAGGCTTCCAGACCGCTTGATGCCAGGATCTTACCCAGACACTGGACAATCTTTGTAACCCATTTTTGGGATTGGTTTCCCCACTGGAGTCCAACAAGATCAACATACTTCAACCTTTTGTTCCTGGGAAACGGCCCGGAAGTCATGGGTATCATGGTCTCACCAAGATGTTCGTTCTGAACTCACCTCGGAAAACCTGACATGTCCTCCACAAAGACTTGGACCATGTCGGTGCCATGTAAAAGGCGGGTTTTCTCCCAAGGCTGATGACAAGTGCTTATTTACCTGGAACTTAAGTATGTGGTTCTTGTTTTGGAGCACGAGCCGCGAAAGAAGCATCTCAGCCAGCAGGAAGCCCGGCGAAACAATCTCAGCTCAGGTGCCTCCCGTGACGGGCCCTTCCAGTGAGGAGAGTTATTGGGTAGGGCCTCCCATTCTCTCACTAGATTCACTGGATGGCTCCAAAGATGATACCTATACGCAGATGCCATCAGATGCCAAGAAAGCTCTCGACTCCTGACTTCCGTTTCGCCGTGTGGGTCGTCCGGCGTTTTGCGCAGAACCGCGCAGTGTACATGTCGCTGGTCGAAGCGATGGTGAGGGCGATGGACGAAAAGCGGGCGTGGTGGGTTGGACGAGAGAGTTGGTGCTTTTCCTACCTGATGTGACTTTACACCACCTGATGCGAGTTAAACCCGGCGCGAGTAAGCCCTTTGTGCCCTTATTGGGCTGTGGTCCGTGTGCTCATCAGGTGCAAGAATCGAGTATTGGTCCTGCAAACTTCGGAAGGATCATTCATATTCATGTACGAATAGGTCCGATGGGCCGACGATGGACTGGACGGCCAGTCCCGTTGTTCGGAGCTTTTTCAGAGCCTGAAACAGGAGCAAAGATGACTGGTGTAGCTTCCACCGATGAATGGAGTAGAGTCGGAAGCAGCCATCCATGTTGGGTGTGACCGGGTTGTAGCTATACAGTACCCCGACTTGCTATACCCCCACCATGGAAGATCCAATTTTGTGCACATATACATTGGTTAATAGTATATTATATATACACATGTGTGCGTAATATGTATAGAACCCACAAATATATTATATATATGTGTGTATAATGTGTGTGTTATAATATACATAGAGAGAGAGAGAGAGATATTATTTGTCAATTCATCCCTGAAACCACCCCAACTGATTTCATCCCTGAAACCACCCCAACTGATTTGTACTGCATTTATTATATTCAATGGAATTATTCCATACGCAGAGCCACGGAGCATTTTGGCATACCAGTAGCTGTCTCGGATTCGGCTGTGTTTTCCATGCATGGCAGGCATCATTTCAGCCGGATGTCTTCACTGCCGTGCGGATCTCAGGCTTACAAGACCAGGAACTGGAAACGTGTTGTTCTTGGTCTTATATCACTAGATCTGCGGGCATGAAGACTGAAGAACTTCTCCCACAATTTGCTTATTGCAGGCATAAGGTTCTCACGATCCACTCAGTTATAAGGTTCACAACCACCCCTCTCCGAAGAAATCAGGCCCCGTCAGGGTGACGACTTCATGGAACTCTCAGCCAGCTTCAGTCAAATCATTGCATCAGCTCAGCTTGGCTCACTGGAGGATCCCATTGAATTGTCCGACAATCCCTCACTTGTAGGCACGAACAGGTGCACCAGCAGCCTCGTGAGTTCAGACATGATCCCCACAAAACAAGCCACAGGGATGGCTGGAGGATTGCCCCCTATATCCTGGTCATCTCTAGCTCAGCGACCTGCCACGAGGCTCGCGACCTGCAAGAGGAAGGTCACTTCCAGTGGCGTGGCTGGGTCGCCCCAGCAACTCTACAGATCGATGTGTCTCACACACAGCCCATGTGGACCCTTCACTGTCACGGTCGCTGAAGCCATTGAATTACACATCGATTTCGCGTTTCCTGCACTCGTTGGATTATGGATACTGGATGCGCTTAGGGAAACACACACATGGACATACACCCCCTCCCTTTTCCCCCGCGATTTCTCTCTTGCGCTTTCTTCGTTTGTTAGGTTTTCTTTCAGGCTCGTTAGGTGGTTCTTGAGACTCGTTTCCCTGCCCCTCAGGTTTTTTAGTCAGGGCTAAGTAGTAACTTTTCTCTCGCTACACCTGTCTTTCTCTCTTGCCCTTTCCGTTTTTGCATGTTCTGTCTTTCTTTATTTCTTTCTTCTTTTCTAAGGCTTTTGGGTACCTATTCAGGTCAAAACTTGTACATTGCCAAAGGGCATTCCACAGCAGAGTGTCGACGCTTTTTGAAGCACAGAAAGGAAATGCCACTTGAACGAGGGAGCGCCGCGAAGCGGCCTACTGTGTGTGTCACCCTCCGTCTCCAGGAGTTCGTTCCAAGAAACGCAGGGGGATCAGGCTTCCAGTGACCAATCTGATCCAACGAAGCTGGGTCACTGAAAGGGAAGTGGTTGAGGACGCTCAACCATGTACCTGCAACATTTTTGTGACGTTTTATAACTACGACCCTCTCTAGCTTTCCAGGCTGGTTAGGTCGAGGTACGTCCGCAGACTTGACGTGCAACATTGTTGAACACTTCAGTTGAGCCGATTTTGCGCCTTTCCGTTCCCACATCCATTTCACTGTGGATTGTTTATATTGAAAACCCTGTGACTAAGTGTGTGTGTGTGCACCACCCTGTGCCTAAGGGTTTCAACACTTTATGGCTTCCCTCCCACCAGAAAGCAGGGGGCATGGCAGCTGTTTCCCTAGCCATGCCAACGAAGCTATGGGATTCAGCTGGAAGGGAATGTGGACGCACATCTCCCATGCACAGCCGCTTTGCAGCCGATTGTTTGCGCGATTGAAATATTTGTTGTTAAAGCATCTCCAACTCAGCTGACTCAGCCGCCTTACCGTTCTTGCATTCATTTCTGTGTGGATTCGCTTACTGGGTATCGAAGTGTGTATCGCTGCGCTTTCCCACTTGGGTGCGCAGTGTGATCCCCCGCAAGGCGCTAAGACCATGTGTGGGTTTTCACTAACTGCACATCGTGTTGCATCGGAATATCTTAACTGCTCCGCCGTTTTTCACGAACCAACTATATGCCGCCGGGCCTACGGTTACACATACACACCCCCACCCCCAACCCCCCTCCCCTCTTTCTCTCTTGCGCTTTCTTCGTTAGTTTGTTAGGTGTTCCTTCAGGCTTGTCAGGTTGTTCTTGAGGCTCGTTTCCCTACCCCACAGGTGTGGTTCTTTCTTGCTTGCCTTTTCGTTTCTTTTTCTAGGTCGGCTTTTCAGGTATGTAACCAGGTTTGTCAGCCAAAGGCTAAGTAGTCAAATCAAGGGCTAAGTATTCACTTTTCTAGAACCTAAGTAATTGTGCTGTCTCCTGCGTTGTTGCCTTCATAACGCCAGTGCGCGCCGCAAAGCGGCGATTTGTGTGTGTGTCCCACCCTGTGCCTAAGGGTTTCAACACTTTATGGTGGCAGCTGTTTCCCTGGCCATGCCAACAAAGCTATGGGATTCAGCCGGAAGGGAATGTGAACGCAATCTCCACCGCTGTGGTTTGCTCCCATGGTTGTTTCTCATGATATCCACCAAAACCATTTTTCCGGCAGATGCACAGCCGCTTTGCAGCTGATTGTTTTCGAGATTGAAACATGTTTTGTTGAAACATCTCCAACTCAGCTGACTCAGCTGCCTTACCGTTCTTGCATTCGTTTCTGCGTGGGTTCTCTTACTGGATGAAACTTATCGAAGTGTGTGTAGGAGAAAACAACAACAAATTCCCTTATAAACGTAGAACTTCAAGCGAGAAAGGGCGGAGATTTCTTTGGTGGATTTGTGGACGACCATTTCAGGAGATCGAGTGGGTAGACAAGACATGGATAGAGCAGACAGACCCATGAAACTAAAGAACTATGGACTATGTGGACAGATCCACCATGTGCTGCTCAACTTGAATACGCGACTTGACACCACATATTCCACTACACTTACCGATCATATCACAGACGAACTCATGCAGTAATTATGGCAATGGGGGTGGTGGTCTGAACGAAGGAAACCCATCGACGGACTTCCACGCGTTGGAACTGCCCAAGTGTCGACACAGGGTGAGGATCCGGGAACCCCCGATGTTTGACCCTTTAATCAGTGGGAATGAAGCGTGGGTGAAGTCTATTGCCATCTTCCATCGACAGAAGTTGCAGTTTTCACAGTCGCCCCGGTCGTTCGCCGAGACCCGCGGCCCAGGGGAGGACTCGCCCACCTCGCAGGGGGACTCGCCCCGCCGGCGGCGAAGCGTGGCGAACGGGGTGCCGAACGACCGGAGTGTATCGGGGTGCCCCGAACGTCACATCCACGGCCCCTGGATGGGACGAGCCACCCAGGCCCTCCATGTGACCGTACCACAGAATCCCCATGAATGGGGGGTTTGACACCCTTGGGGTTAACTGGATCCATGGGGATCCGTTTGTGGAAGAGTTGCTTACATGGAATTGGCACCACCGAAGTCAAAGAAAGTCCGGGTCACCCGGGTCTCCGTATCTCCGGACCATGCAAGTGCATGGCCGACTGGACTCCGATTTGGGCAAGTGCAAGACACTTTCCAGTTGGTGATTAGGTTGTTGATCCTTTTGGTATAGAGTCAGAGTGACCAACATCTAGCACAGGCGAAGGAAGAGATAAATTCTGACATCAACATTATTACATCCTTATCCCGGCAGTTAGGGCATGTTTTCCCACCTTGCCTATAGCCCAACAAACTTTTGGCTCTTTGGGAAGAGTTCTTTTGCCCGGTTCTTAGCATATGCCTTTGGGTGCTGGGAACAGTCGGCAAGAGATACAGACCAGGAGTCACAAAGGGGTGGTGTTTGGTCCCTAAGTGAGTGGAACATGGGCACCCCTAACCTCCATAAAGCACCCCTTTGTGACTCCTGGGGGATGTCATAGTGTGAACTTTTTTGCATGACTGGGGGCAGGGAGCCAGCCGTGGAGATGGCCACGTCGCCTGAGATTAAACCCATCCGCAATGTGTCCGCAATGTGACCGGTTCGCAGTCATCATTTGTACTGGATCCGTACTGGGTTCGAACCCCACTGGAATTGCATTGAGTAGAAATAGATGTGATTCTTACACTTAAATACTTGGCGCAATCTGTTGTCTTTGAAACCACGTGACCCCCGTGATCCTTCCTTCGCCTGCGGGTCTGGCGCCCGTCCGGTCGCGTTCGCGTTCGCGTTCGCAAGACAGGTCCATCCTGGACGCCTTTGCCGTGGCCAGGGGCAGCCTACCGCGGGACTGAGCCAGTCAGACAGTTGCTGTGATCTACGGTCGAAGGTCGCCAACGAGAAGTAGTTCTGCCAAAACCACAAAACCGTTCGAGGTGTTCGAGGTGTTTGACCTCTTTTAGTTTTTAGAAGTGATTCCAACCATCGGAGACGTTCGGAATGTTTTGCCTGTTATGTTTCTCCATGTTCTGGGCCTCCCGTGGTCTTCCAAAAGGTGGGTCGGTCTGAATGGCTTTCCCATCGGTCCCTGGTCAGCTTCCAGTCGGCGCCCGACCTCGCTCACATGCGGTCGAGTTCCGACAGTTCCCGCAGATCGTTTCTGGGTGGCTGGCGGATTTGGCAACAGCGTTTCAAAACCTAGGCCTCCAGTCGTACCTTCGTTTCAGATGTGGGACTGGGGTGGGTGCCAGGAGGGTCCAGTCATACCGAACCTGAGGAGGTACTTGGAGGTGTAGGGAAACTGCAAGACATTCCAATCCCAGACACTCCATGTATGGAATTTCTCATGTATACATTGGCCACTACATTGGCCCAATCCCAATGGGATTGCAGTCGTATGCCAGTCCCAGACAGGTCGTGTTCGGTTCAATGGCATTGTGCAGCTTCGCATGTGCAAACCATTCATCCTGTCGCAGCCCTTGGGCCAGCCATTCAACTGCTCTGCCCGCGACGCGTTTGGGGCCTTCTACTGTGTGGCTTGGCCAAGTCTGCAGGTTTTTTGTGAGTCGACAAGCAGTTTATTAGATATGGGCAAGATCTCTCGAGCACTGTATATTATATACGGCTGATGACTCTGTTAAGAAAGATGCTTTTTTAGAGTAGACTCTAGATTATTTCTTAACTATAACCTTTTAATTAAGAAATGTGGCTAGCAGGTAGACTCTAAATAAGGTTTCTTATTCTATTTTCTCCCTGTCAACCCTTCTTAGACCATGAAATCGCTCTCCGTCGAGCTCTAAATCGCTCAACCGCATCGCTATGCGCATGGTCTTCGACTTCTTCGACCCGTATCCCCGGATGTTGTATAATGTTCTATCATGGTACAATGCTCAAGAATCTGAGATGAGGAAAGGGAGGGAGGGAGGGAGGGAGGGAGGCTCAAAGTTGAAGGCTGCGTTTTAGACCAGTTTCAGACCACCCGAGAGGACAGGTTGGGGACAGTTTTTTTGAAACAGATTTAAACAAACTGAAGCTTTTGCTCTACGTACGTATCATGGAAAGGGGTCATAGATGATGTCAAGTTTGTCATTTTACATCTGCACCCTGGAAATCCAAGGGTCATTGTCTAAAAGCGGATGTTTGATCGCAAGATTAAACAATGCGGCCCTTGCGCCGCGTCATTCCATGTGGGGTCTGTAAGTGAGATACGTACGGGGGTCTACAGGATAATGACGGCTCGCTTTTAATTCGGTACCATTATGGTCGTAATTCGGTGCGCCCAATAGTACCTAATTGCGGCCGCAGTGGTACCAAATTAAAAACTCCTCTTCATGCATCCACTCCATGTTCTCCAATAACTTCCGGTGACCATCAGTGACCATATCACTTTTGCGGCTCCACATGCGTTTTGTGCTGACGGTTCGGAACTTCAGGTTTTTGAACCAAAAATGCAAGTTCTGAACCTTTTTGGAAGCAAAGTGGAACTACGGATGTTGTATAATGTTCTATCATGGTACAATGCTCAAGAATCTGAGATGAGGGGAGGGAGGGAGGGAAGGAGGGAGGGAGGCTCAAAGTTGAAGGCTGCGATGGGACTTCTAAAGGGTTTCAGACCAGTTTCAGACCACCCGAGAGGACAGGTTGGGGACAGTTTTTTTGATACAGATTTAAGCAAACTGAAGCTTTTGCTCTACGTACGTATCATGGAAAGAGGTCAAAGATGATGTCAAGTTTGTCATTAAGGGGTCGCGCTCTTTCTCTTTCTCTCTCTCTCTCTTTTTTTGTCTCTTTGTGGCAGGGCCCTTCAAATTAGAACTTTATACGTATTTAGAAGAAAACGTATTTTTTGACAAAAATAGAGTCTAGAAAAAAAAAATCTTCCGAAAAAATAGAGTCTACTTTATTGTTTAAGAATATTTCTTAACACAGATAGAAGCCATAGTGTGCCAGATGTTATCCACGTCACGTCGTCCCAGGGAAACACATGGACCTGCCAGTGGTGGCATTTACATTTGATGGTTGTGATGTGATACACTCGTGAATTTACCAACGGCAGACACGTAATCCATGTCCAATATATATATTTAATAGTATCACATAACGAACATGCTATCGTATAAAATGTGAAACCTCACGGGTCTCTCATCACTTCCATGGTACTTGATCGTGTCCTTTTTCCTCGATCTGGTCTGTGGACCCGCCGTCGGAGTCACAAATAAGGGCGCACGGGGGCCTGCGTCCCCAAGTGGGTGGATGTTTCTGGGCAGGTGGATGTTTCCTATAGGGGTCCAAGTACCTTCTCACAAGGTACGACTGGACCCTCCAAACCTACATAACAGTGTCTCCAATCACCTAACCTGAGAAGGTACGACTGGATTCCATAGGGTTTCTGGGCACCCCATGACCCAACTCCTTCCTCCGTTCGGACACCGGCACCGCGTCGCATCCGGGTGACAAGAAGGTGGTGTCGATAGACCGACTCTTGATTCAATTGACCCTCCCCATACAGGATTGAAGAGGTTGTACAATCCCAAATCGGGGGGGGTGATGAATCAAGAGTCTACGTGGCCGATTTCCGTAAGAAGATGAGGGTGACGGACGGAGGGAAGGGGAGGGAGGGAGGGAGCAGGAGTAGTAGGTCGACTTCTTTAGGCTTTGGCCAGTGTGGCCATGCATTGAACACCAACCCCCCCATTTGTTGTTCTCATTGTCGGACAGATCGGCCCCCAGTCGTCACCCTGCAGTTTGGTCTTTTTGTTTCGGTTTGGGCCAACGGGATGAGCCGCGAGGCCGAGCTCTCGGCCTCTCGTGCGCCATGGGGCAAATCGGCAGCCAGTTCTGCTGCTCTCGCACCTCAGGAGGAGTTGGGGAGCACCTGTAGACACGACCCGTTTGGGACTGGCATATTGTCGGCTGACCTAGGGCCTAGGGCCAATGGAGGTTTAATGGTATATATGAATATGTATTCCATATACCTGGAGTGTTTGGGATAGATCAACCAGTGTGTCCAAACAGCAAGGCACGAAGAGTCTGGTTTCATCGTTCATATTCCAGAAAAGTTGTAAAACACGCCAGGGCTGTACATTGTTTGAGTCACTCCATGTGTCTCTCAGAATTGAAGGGATTTCGGTCCATTTTTTTTGTGCAGCTTCTTGTGCGTTCTTGTGTATGTTGCACACTGTCTCCTTGTATAAACATGTTTTTTGATGTTTTTGGTGTGTTTTCACCAGGTCCCAATAGAAGTAATGTTCGTCAAATTGCCTCAGTTGCTTCAGTCTTCCAGACATTTGCAAGATGTGAGCTGAATTAGACCTTCTCCATGTGCGGTGTGCACTCTTGAGTGACCTGGATTCAGATCGATGACTCCTGTTTAGTAGGTCCTTTCGAGGTCCTCGTTGAACTGCGCTCGTGACGGATACTGGACCCGTGGACTGGACCCGTCCGCCGTGTGGCGCCTCTCCTGGCCTCTGGTCCCTTCCTTCTTCCAGAGCACCCAAGAGAGGAGAAGTGACCTGAACTAGGACCCGTCACCTGGGGTACCTATCTTATAGTCTATAGGGTCCTTCAACCTCTGTTGCATGTTCTGTGATGGGCAGCGGCTTGATGTTGCAGAACATCTTGAAGAGTTGGGGCTTAGGAATGGTGACATGGTTTTCCTGCCGTACGAGATATGGCGAGATCCTAGTTCGGGTTCCCATACCCATGAGGGGTAATGTATACTATAGACTCTTGATGAATACTGTAACCCCCATTTGTGAAACCTGTTTTATATGGGGGCTCTTATTGATCGAGAAGTCTATATACATTAGCGGCAGTTCAAGAACATCATTGATTGGAACGCGCCAACAGATTACCAAAGGACAGGAGTTCAAAGAGCACCTCAAATGAAAAGGGGGAAAAGGAAGTGTTTTGAGGACTTGTTAACTTGTTAAGAGTTCCACAGGAATTCAATCAAATGCCCGATCAAATGGACTCTATGAGACTCTACTATAGACTTATATAGACACAATTAGAATTAGATCACAATGGAACACAAACTCAAAGAGCATGTTTTGGACTCATTCTTGGATTCAGCATGCCATCCGGTCCCAGGGCCTTCTAGGGCCATCCCGCAAGCGAACGGTCGAACGCACGGGACCTCGGCGATGAGGAGCCCTCGCACCGTTGGAGGAAACCAAGCGGAAAGGCTCGGCGAAACGGTCCGGGGACGCGGCAAACGATGTTGTCCCTGTAGACCTGAAGATGTCCGGGTGTGCGTCCTGGATCAAGCAGTGTAGGGTATTCCATTGGACACCTGTTGGAAGGTGGTTTACACTGTTTGTAGTTGGAAGAACGTTCGGAATCATTCGGAATCAACCCTGTGTGGTGGTTGGTTGCCTTAACTTAATCGACTGTTAGCCCATTGGGAGCACCTTGTACGTGGGTTACCCAGAGCAGCGCAGCGACCGAGATGCTCACAGCTCACACGCCTCAAACTCCAAGCTGCTTCAAAGGCCCCTGGCACTTTCCCAATTCAAGTACCATGGCTGCCAATGGCTCTCTCGCGACACGACCCAACTACCCTAGCTAGCTACTGTAGACGAACCTTCGAGCAGCACGGACCGTCCACAGTTCCCACTGACCCGTTCTCCCCCTTTCGGGGCCGAGCAGGCGCAGAAGCAAGTCCATCGAGTGTGGCCACTGCGACGCCCAGTGGATCCAGCGCAGGCGCCGATTCCCGGCGATCGGAAATCGATGCTTCAGATCCTCACAAGCCTGGAAAGCCATGAATGCAGGTAATTAAGCAGCCTCAAGGACATGACACTGACTCATCTCATTTGTTCATTGTCACGTCCCTTTCTTCCGGCCTCGCGGCACGCCTCGCAGCATAGTGGCTCTTTTCGTGTCCGACTCGCCGAATCCAAAGGACGGGCCGAATCCGAGGTCCGCCCCCAACCAAGCCAGTCTCGGTCTCGGTCCACCTCAGTTGGATGTTGGCTCCTCGTCAGTTCGGCCGTGCCATGCTCGAGCCTGAAGACGTCTCCGTCTCCCGGGGCTCCAGCGGCGAAGTGGATCGAGCCGCAGCGAGTGGCGAGCTCCAAGGGGTGCCGGAAGCCACTTGCTTCGGCGACTCGAAGAGACAAACCGATTGGTGGAGTGTGGCGAACCAGAGTTGGATGGGCAGGGCCCCAAGTACTGGGTTGCAGCTCAGAGTTCGTGCAAGCGATCATGCGCCTCAACGGGTCTTTTGGGGGTGGTCATGTCCTTCAACTCCAACTTTAGCTTGCAAGAACCGCCCTATGGTTCTTTCATGTTCTTTCCTTGGTGAAGCGAACCTCTTTCTTTGGAGGTTTCACTTGGGTGTAGTGTAAGTGTAGTGCTTTTGGAGCCTTTTGATCATAACCCTATTAGATATTCGAGTCATCACGTAAACATGTTGGATATGTTAATCGCAGGGGGGCATTCAAGTGGGGTGTTGGACAGTCGGACACTGTCCTCACCCGTTGCTTCAGCTGGCGCTTTTTGATCCGCTAGCTGAAGCCATTCGTTGTGGATTAGGGGCACCTGGGTCCGGTCGCGATCCGAAGAAGGAGGCCCACCATCGCTCACCACCATGCGTTTTCCGGACTCGACCTCGTTCCGTCCAACTTGGAAAGGAAAGTCGACCAGCGCGGGCTCCATGGCTACCGCCACGATGTCACCACGCAAGATTGGAGCAGTCAGCAAGAGCCTTTTGGAGTGGAAATGTTGGACCTAGAGAAGCAAGGAGTTCTATTCTCCCTGGAAGTAACATGGTTCCGTGGATGGCCCGGAAAGGACCGACCGTATTCCTCTATAAGCAGGGGGATTCCACTTCCCGCTCCAGGCAGTGTAATACATCGATTCTATGTAGATCTATAGTCAGTTCGGTTCCATTGTCTATCAGATTCTATAGATGCGTTTGGTGGTTCCTTTTTGCAGTTTTTTCGATGGTGGAAGACTGGTTCTGCTTTCGCGATCATGAAGGAATCGTGTGATCCTTGGCGCGGCTTCGCCATCCCGACTTCCTTGCTGTCCATCTTCCCCAGCCACAAAATGGAGCGCCCATGGGAGGAAGTCCTCAACATGTTCATTTTGGAAAATCGGTCCATGGTCCCATGGACTGTCCTATACTTTTCTGAGCCAGGGGCGCAAACTGGAGTTGAGAGCTCATGAGCTCATGTATCCCACGACCTGTTTGGGACTGGAATCTTTTACAATCAGTTGGGGTGGTATCCTCAGTAGGGCCCAATGTATACTCAGTAGGTGCCAGCAGGTGCAGTGAGAAGTGTTTGGGTATGAATCGAAGACCCTTGTGTCAAGACCCTTGTGTTTGTGAACCTTTCAGTTCGATGAAGGAAGGAGGATGCCTCAGTCCCTTCGTGGACCCATTCAGTGCAACGGAGGGCGACTCCTTCTCCGACTGTCATGTCCATCGCATGTCCATCGCTAGACTTCATCACTGAAACGTGTTTCATCTATATATATGGTCTTCTTCATGAGGTGTACTATGAGCACATCATCCAATGTTCCAAAATCTCTGAGAAGCATGATGAAACATGTTCCTTTTGTTCCATGCCCTCGCTTTCCCTCAGAAGATCCCACCAAGGCGTGTGGAAGGACTTCTTTTCTGCCATTCGCCCGCCACCCAAGCCCTTCGGGAATGCGAGCCGGTAGACGGATTCGCAGCTGCCGCATCACATCAGTTGCAAGCACCATTTGATTTAGAGGTGTGGATTCTCAGCATGTGACCCAAGAGGCAGTGAGACACGAAGCCGAACATGTGTGACTCAACGAGCACAAATTCAGAAGCACAAGCCCAGGAGTGGCCAAGGGCCATAAGCAGTCCTTGAAGTGTGCGTGACTGTTTGCATGAGCTATGCCTGCCGAGGGGCAATGAGAGGATTCTTTAAAGCAGTGGACCTCGCTGACGATTTATCATGTGTGCATATCTTTGCTTTAGACTTTAGATGATTTTAGACTGCTTTGTTCATTAAAACCCGTCGTGTTTGCCTGCAATGATTTTGGGGGTCCGCGATCCTTCTCAAAGACGCCATCACTTTCATGTCTCAATCATGCGTGAACATTAGTTGCATCGCGCCGAAAAGATGGTTCTTCGCAGTGTAAAGGAACAACCTTGAAGTGGACACGCCCAAGGTTTTGATTAGGCTATGTGGAGTTGGCTAAGGCAATACAAAATCATTTGCAAGCTTGAATCAAATGCTTTGGACATGGGACTCTCACCTCGGAACAACCAGATGGTACCAGTACCTTTTTTTTTGATATAAGGTCACGGTCATGTCATGTCCAATTTTCAAGAATTTTCCAGGGTACATTGGAGTGTCCAGGTGCTTGAATTTCCAAGTCGGCCACTCCTCCTTGCATCATGTAAACCCACGAACCCGAATGCTGACATTCATGCATTCAGCAGTTTTTACCACTTGAACGCATTTGAAGTTGGTATCCATGTCCTAGGGATCCAAGTACCTTCACTGGATCCCTAGGGATGTCCAGTTTGCACCTCTGCGGTTCTTGAGCCCTGGTCTCCTGGTCTCTCGCTGGCTCTCGCGCTGCAGCGATGCGATAGGTGTCGAGAGCTCCGTCTCGCTCCCATCACCTCGTCTCGGCAGCCTGCGTCAAACGGGCGCTTTGGGGTGGGTGCTTTCAAAGGTGAGGTTGGAAAACACCCGGTTTTTCCATGTTTTTCCATGCTGGGTGGCGAGTTCCCACGCTGGGTTTGGTTGTGGCCAGTGGTTGTGGAAGAAGACCCCTATCACCTATCTCTGTTTCTTTGGGGTGGGAATTGCTTGGGCTCAGCCTTCATGGTTTGCAGGGCTTATCAGGCTCATCACCTCCAACGTTGGAGGTGCCAGGAGAACGCCCATGCGGAAGGTTCCGGCGGATGATGTTTGTTCAGCGGCCACAGAGAGGAAATCACTGGCCTGCCCCCCCCATAAAAGGCTTGGAAGTTCTTGGAAGTGTAGATCATCTGAGTCGTTTTGGTCGCTTGATTTTGTTTGATTGAGTGTTCAGCTGATGCGTTGTTCGGGGGCAGATGTTCGACGTTGCGGTGAATTTGTGGCTCAACACATTCAACAGAAGAATTCAGGGACAAGGAGGGACCATCCAAGAGAGGTTGAGTGACATGAACTAGGACCCATCACCTGGGGTACCTATGTTCTAGTCTATAGGGTCCAACCTTTGTTGGATGGTTGAGGGCACAGTCATCCCTTTGGCAAAGCAAGTGCACCGAGGTGAAGGGACTGAAGGCCTCGGTTTGCAGCCTGAGCTGCCCTCACCACAAGGCTTGGTGCAGCGGAAGGGACCTCATGTGAAGGCATTTTACAATCCACATGGGGTGCTGCATGGTGCTACTACTAATCAAGTCTTTTTGCTGCCAGTGGTTCTCGACAAGGTTTCACTCTTCGCTTTCAACCCATGCAGCGGTCAAGCATGCACCAGCCAGCAGCTACACTACATGTTTGCAAGAAGACGCCACGTGTATTTAATCAATCCATCCTCTTTGCACAGACGTTTTTGCCGCAACCCCCGAATGGACCCAACCTGCTTCTCAACTGCTTCGTTGCTTGGAAGATCTTGGAAGGATGTTCTGGGTTCGTTCTACGCGACCGGTCGTGACCCATTTCAGATCCAATTGCACCGGACCAAAGAAGTGGACCACCGGACCAAAACCATCCAACAGAGGTTGAAGAACCCTATAGAATATCCCAGTTCGGTACCCCAGTAAGGTCCTATTTACGGTCACTTAACCTCTCTTGGATCGATTGGACATGACCTCGGTGGAGGGCGAGGAACTCGACTGGCACCACTGAAGCGACCGGGAGGGGAAAACCCTCGGAATCCACTCGAATTTGTTTGGATGCACAATGATGCACTTCCAACCCATCCATGTATGGCATGTTGGCATATATGCCATGCATGTATGGCATGGAGTGTTTGGGGCGAAAACATGTGAACTCTTCGATGAATAACCACCCCATTTGGATTGTAAAACCTCATTCCTATGGGGGTTTTGTTCATCAAGAATCCGCTCAAATTGGGGACTTCGAAGGTCGAAGGTGTGCGGCGGCGTTTGGGTGGTTCTAAAAGGCCGATCTCCAGTTTGAAGGGATTGACCGGCAAACTTGGCTTGGGTACTCAGGTGCTCTGACCTTTTCTGGGGTGGTTTCAATCATTATGTTTCAACCTATTTTAACGATTAAACATGTGAGATGATTAATCTCACTGGCTAGTATTTTTTGAGTTGAAGCCACCACCAGTCCCTGTGCTGTGTGAGGAGAAGGCTCCAGTCCCGAGAAGGAGCTACCGGTACCAGCACTTCAAGGCTTGCCGTGTGTTTGCACGACCGCAGATCCGTCAACTCTTGCGACTGGCCGTACTTGACCCCGTCTCAACACTGGATGTTGAATCAGAGTCTTGCTTACCCCATTTTGGGGGGCACTCAGATCTAGCAGCTACTCGATCTGGTGTTGCAGCTTCCCCAGCCCTCCATTTCGGACGAATGAACTCGACCAAAAACTCGAGCTTTTCGTATGTTCATGTGATCATGTTCTGCGGATCCCTCTCTGACGGGATCGATCAGGGGCAGGTGGAACAGATCTGGTCATCTCTGATCTCCACCGATTGCCTCGTCGCGTCACCCCTGTCAGGTCCCGATCTTCCCACGCGCGACGACCGCGCGGGTCCTCCGGAGCCTCCACCAGGCGGGCCTTTCGAACCTATCAGGGCCCCCCGGATGCTTAGAAAGAGCCCCTGGCAGCGAGGTTGGTGATTCGGGTTGATTCGGGGTGTCCATTTTCCGCACCGACTTCCTGGATCCTGGTGCCAAAGCCTTCAAAAGGGGAGCTCTTAGGAGGTTGGTCTTGAAACTTTGGGGTGACACAGACGCGGAAGGCACATGTTCTGCAAAAGGTTCCGGTGGCCGTGGAACTATGGAACCCTTGCTCCCATATGAAAGACTGCCGATGACCCCCGCTAGTTTGTGCAGAGAATTTGTCCTTCAAACTTCGGGTGAATTTATCAGTCAGTGCTGTTGGAGTCTAAAAGTCCTTGCAGCGTTCGGCACATGTCCAGCGACGATTTTGCTGTTCTTTTCCTGTTTGGGGCCCGCGCTTCTTTCCTGGAACGCAGCGCTACATGTTAGGAGGAACTCTTGTCATGTTAGGAGCAAATCCTTCACGGTTTTCATCCTGCACGAAGGCTCGCGTAGCCATTGCGCGGTGAAATTACAACTTTGAATGTCAATGTGTTATATGAGTAGAATGTAGTGTAGATTGTATAGCATTATAACTTATAACTCAAAGCTTTGCGGAGGAATGAGTACCTATAGGGGTTGTTTCCCAGACCACCGAGAAAAACAACACACACGGCTCAAGTGTTGTTTATGACACCTTTTCTCATCATGAGCCCGCTATTGCCCTGCTGAATGTTGAAGCTCAGATGCGTGTCAACATGTTAACACGTCAACACGGCTTGGGCTTCGACTCAGACAGACACCGTGGAAGTTTCAACTCAGACAGGGCCTGAAGCTTCTGCCGTTTTGGGCACTGCGGACGTCTTGCGACTGCTCCCCAAGACTGGACTCATGGCCTCATGGCCCAGCCTGATTCGTGGCCCCGGATGCTGCCAGGCGCCCTTCCCGGACCCAGTCCGGAATCTGAGCTGCCTGCACCAGGCTCGGACACCCTGGGGCACTTGGGCGCTTTTCCGCCCTGGGGCTCGGTTCATGAAACAGCTCGTCTTTGGCAGTACTGGTGCGTGTTCTTGTTTCATGATGCTTCATTTGGTTTGAGGTATGAGGTGTCCTCAAGTATATACAAAAGATAACAGGGCAGGAGGGGAATTTGGGGAACCCGTTGGTGAAAGAATAAAACTCCACACAAGTGCAGAAGAGGCTGCTTGCAAAAACCGCTCTTCGTCGCTGTTCAGCACTTCTCCGAGGAGGGTATCTAAGTCGAAGCACACATACCATCAGCGGGATTTGCAACGATAGGGCACGGCCCCAACTTGAACTGTGACTCTGAACAGCATGATCCCTTGGAGTTGTGCTCTCCGTGGATAGCCCTGGTTGGTGGCGCGTTTCTCGGTCGTGGAGTGTCCTGGATCACTTGCCCTGTTGCACCAGGGTTCAGGTGGCAAGTTCAAGAGCTTCCACGAAACATGTTACCATACTGTACATGAGTTGCCGTGCTGGATCCAGTTACAACTTTGCGGTGTAGGTCCGATCGGCAGATCAAGACGAACATGCCATCCACAGACCATCATAATTCCGGATAATTCAGGCATAGACCGGACCCATTAATCCGATTATATCCGATGATCCACAAAAATCGGTGGTCCATTGGCCTTCACACGTCTTCAACGCCTCGCGCTCGCACGACCGGACGACCGGACACCATGGATCGGCCCGACCCGGGTCGGATCCGTGGTTCGGCTTCGCCCACTCCATGGAGTGTATGGAATAGATATCCTATACCCAAACACTCCATGTAACATGGAGTGTTTGGGTATAGGATATCTATTCATATTTACCGATCAGGCCAGGGGTGGTGCCAGAGGGGCGAATGGGGCGGCAGTCCTATGGCAGTCCCATGGATCGTCGTGTTTGGGATAGAATGGCCCCCAGGTCAACCACCCTCAAGGTACCTAGCGCTTCCAAAGTCCAGTCTCCAGCCGGGCCGCCAACGAATGCGATCTGCCCAAACTCTAAGTCCTTCATACTTCATATATGAGCGTTTGTCAAAACGTACTGTCAAAAAAAAGGGATTCACGACCGCTCTTTACTAAATTGCAGTAGTCATTGCATGTCATTGCACGTTTTGGCAGTTGCTATTCCCAGATTGTTTGACCCATGCCCACTGAAACTCCTGCCCGGGCAGCAGCTTGGGTGATCAACCCGTCGGCTGGTGTTTTTTCCCATCGCGGCGATTTCCCCAGAATCGGTGACTTGAGACTGTCCACTTCTCACCGAAGCTTGTGACGCAGTGACCGATCAAAGCTGACGTGATTGGTCGGATAGAGAACCGGCCAGCTGATGGATGCGAGCCCCATGGTGTCTCCCAAAACCTCGTCCGCCCGGACTCGCCAGGGGGTGAAGCCACAGATGGTCTCGCGACAGCCGCTGCCTCAGTTCTTCCTCTCCACCGGTGACTGGACCAAGATCCATCCGTGACGCCTAGACCGCCACGCCGATCTGATGTCCGGCTATAGACGTCCGGCTCTGGGGCCGGAGAACACATGATGGTCTCCGCCCGCGGACCTGGACCGCCCGTGACGTCCGACCTGTGACGGCTACCTCCGCCCGACCGGGACCGACGGCAGTCCTTTGGTCCCGGTCGGTCAACTGGATGGATGGGTGCCGTAGAGTGCTGAGTGCTCCGACCGGTCTGGAAGTTCCTGTTTTTTCCCTCACTAAACCGAAGAACGGTTTAAGAAGCCATGCCAAGCATCATCCACAGCTTGTAAGGAGTAAGGTTTCCAGCATAGCTCAGGTGAATGATGACATTTTCCCCAGGAAACGTAGGGAGCCCACATATATAAGATTGAGTGAAGAAACTGACTTAAGACCAACCACTGGTGAAGATTTCGAAGGGAAACAAGAAGATCTTGTCGACTGGCCGGGCCAGATTCAGCGTCATAGTCATAGTAGTATGTCACAGTCCTGTGTTCGTCGGCTTCACCGATGTTTCTTTTTCAGATGCCCAGGGAGGTGTGATCGATGAGTCGGTGGGTTTTGAGGGATGGCTTCACCGGGCTTTCAGAGACCATCTCTCACTCACCTCTTCCAGGGGATCTTTGATCCACCAGTTCACCCGTTCGGACGGAGCGTGTCGTGGCACGCTGAGAGCGTGTCACGTGTGTTCCACGCTCCTCGTGTCGCGTTTCCAGTGGGTGGTTCTGCCATAGTGGGTTGCCACATGCCAGGTCTGGTCACAGACCGCAGGTCTGGTGTGCTGGTGTGGTCAACCAGTGCCATGCGGTTTCCGAGGAGCCTACTCCCGCGGTGTCTGGGGATCAGTGGCTGAGTCAGCAGTGGTATGGGACATCCGGACACAGACCGTTTGGCATACGGGTGTCAGGCTGCAACGGGGTCAGGGGGTCCTGAACTTCCTGAAGTCATGGAGGATCTTGTTGGTACAGCAGAAAGTGAGCAAATGTTGAAACCTTGAAGCATTAGGCAGATCTTTATTCTTGGTGGTTCTCTATACTGCCGGGCCCCTGAACATGGAGTAGCACCCCACATCCAGAAAAGGTCGACGTCGGTCTTTCCGCCGACGGGGCCGGGCCTACATCGAGAGTCAGAGTCTCCCTGCTCACCTTCGAAAAGAGGGATCCGTGGATACATTATGATACATTGAAGGGTTCTAAAAGGCTTACATCTGTAAAGCAAGAATCAAGGCCACCACCAGATTGGTTTGATCTATTTTGTTCTATTGGGACGTTAACATCACCACCAGTGAGCTTGGTGATCTCCCGTGTGTAGCTTTTGGGTCTGGGCGTGGATACCAACGTGTGACACACTGGGTGAGCTCAGGAGAACCAGGCTCCGTCCTAGCTATACTTGATGCATTAATTTAGGTGTTTACCTTTCAACCCTATTTAAGTACTTTTTTTTTGATTGACTGAAAACATAGATTATAGGCTATTAAGATTGCTACTCACCAAATGTTTGCGAAGGCATTTGTGTGATACATTATGTGTTGCGAAGGCGTGCGCAGCGGCGTGGCGAGGCCAATTCGCGAAGACTTGAGCGTATGAAATGAAAGGTGGCGAAACGAATTCGCGAAGCCTCTGGTGTTGCGAAACGCAGGGTCAGCAACTCAGCAGTGTAGGCACTTGACCTTTTGAAAAAAGTACGGCTCATTTGGAGGATGACCGCCCCAGTTGACGAATATCTTTCTAGGGAAGGGTGGTCAACTCAAAGCACCATCCAGTCAGCTAGCTTGGGGGCCAATCACCTGAGTAGGACCAGGACTGATGATGAGCTTGAACCGTCCCGACCATCCTGTCTTGTGATGTCTGGTGGGTGGTGAATCATCAGGTTTTGAGGTTTCCATAGTTACGTACCATAGTTGATGCCAACATTTTGTGAACCTTCCAATTTGATCGCCTTTCTCACCATAGCCATCATCCCCTAGGGCTCCAACCATATCCTCAGAAGGTTGTTAAACCCCCCTGGCACCCACCACAACCATCTTCTCAGAAGATACTTGGAGCCCTGGGGATCAGCCATGGCAAGCCATATGTTTCACCCCACTACCACCCCACTATCACTCCAGACAAGGATGGTTGAGTTCAGGGGTCCATGGTGCCGGGCGTTCGTCGTTCGTCGTACCAGCCTGGTCAGCCTGATGGACTCTTGATGTCCTGAGGCCTTCGGCACCCAAGATGGAGGTGAAGACGGAGGACGTGGAGGCGGAATTCATCCATCGCTTCAAGACTTCTGTTGATGAGAACCGACCTGAGGGGGAGATAGACAGAAAACATCTCCATGGTGCGAAGCAATCCGAGGATAGTTTGTTCAATCCGTCACCTGCCGGTTCTTTTGATGATGATTCTTCAACCAAACGTAGCAAAGAACGCGAGGTTGTGCTGGCTTTGAACATTCAAACCAGCGAAATCCTCGGTTTGTTGTTCATGATGCCTACGCTTTGCCAGGGGCTGGAGGATCCCATATGATCTCCCACTCTGAATTTCAATGCCGAAGGTGGTGATGTCCACGGAACCGTGATGATTTCAGGGAGTGTACACAGTATACAAGATTATACAAGTGTAAAATCATACCCAGACACTCCATGTTTGCCATATATGCCAACATTGGGGTGGTGCCAGGGGGGTCAATGTAGGCATATATGGCATACATGACGTATTTGGGATAGTGTATACCTTAATTAGAAGTCTTATGTGTCGCATGCTGTTTTGAATCAAGGTGCGCCAAGTTCCAACCCAAACCAATGTGTATATTATGTGACTACAGTCGTGATCGGTGTAAGTGACAAACACCACACCGCCGGGTGCTCTCCCAAATGCAGGTCTTTTGTTTTCCTGTCATTCTTTCCTGGCAGGAAAGGAACACATCAAACTTCACTGGACCATGATTGTTAAATGATGACCAAACCTGGGATTGCTGGATGAATTCCATGTTACTTGTCATAGGAGCACACCTATCTCGTCCTTGGCAGATAGTCGTTCTAGCGGCAGTTCTCTCCGCACACGTTGCAAGCGGTGCCATCCCAAGCGTCAGCGACCTCAGCGGATGTCTGTCCAGGAGGCCTCCACTGGCACGATCACGCCTCCTGCGTCGCCGAGGACCATCGCCCCAGTGGCTCGGACCGTTCGACCTCCTTCGGCGGAGCAGCGGATTCGACTCGGACGACTCCAGCTGTGTGCTTGCGCTGACTGAGGCACCGGCGCAACCAAAAGGCAAGGGCAAAGGCAAAGGCGCAAAAGGCAAAGCACCTGTGGCCAAGGCGCGCGCGAGATCACAGCATGGGCCGAGTTGGCGCAGATCTTGGAAGTGGGATGCCTTGGGGCGATCGTGATGTTGTAGGTCGGTTTGATTCACCATTTCGCCCTAAGGAATGAGCATCGCTGGCAAAGTGGGCAGCGGACATTGTTCCTTGATCATTTTGTAGGGCAGTGGAAGCTTTTTGTTGGCCCCGATCAGGAGCAGAAGTGGTTCTTCCACGGTTTTTTCGATGATGAGTGTTGCACCACTTGCCTGCCCTCAGTTCCAGGCATGTCCACATTTCCCCCTCCCCTTCACCGTGCGACCCTATGTCATCATATGTCATCTTTTTGTCCCCCCTTCTTCTGGTGCCGCCGAAGACCCCGCGGCGGCTGCGTCCGGCCGAAGCGCAGATGAACATCATGAACATGAGAGACTGATGGAGACGCAAATATAGAGCTAGTTACCATTAGTTACCCAGGATTTAAAAAGTGAACCACCTGCAAGACCTTTTGGGGGCCCCTGGGAAAAAACAAAAAACACAGGTGCTCCTGGGAGATGTTGTTCATGCAAAGAAAGCAAAAAACACTGTGTTACAGTGATTTTTGGCAACAACATCACCAAAACCTAGGTTTTGAGCTATTTTTAGATCAATTTTGTGAGGACCAGGCCTATAACACTATAATTACAAGCGATACATTGTGTTTTACAATGATTTTCGGCTAAAACATCACTCAAACATACCAACACCTAGATGTTCAGCTATTGTTAGATCAAATTTGCGAGGGCCAGGCCTATAACAGTTTGAGGACATACTACAAAAAAAAAAACAACAAACAAAACATAAAAGAAAAAACATACACACAATGTTTGAGACAAAATGGGGGTACTATAGGAGTTGGATTAAAGGCGATGGAGAGAGAGAGAGAGAGATAGGAGTTGTTATTTTTTGTTTTGCCTCCATTTAGCAATTTTTGAATTATGCACGGTATTTACAGTGTTTTCTAAAGTTGTTGAGCTAGTGTGTGCTCTCCCAAGCAGACTCGCCCTCAAAAAATAACAATCTATATCCAACCATAGATGGATAAAAAAGACAAATATATAGATACTTCGCATGGGATGCTTCCGCGGAAACAGAGGGGTTCAGATCATGGTTGGTTCTTTCAAACCCTTGAAGACCCTGCTTCACGGTCCTGATCGACCGCTCGACGACGAGTCCCTCATTATCATGCTGAGGACATCCCCCCCCCTTCAACACATGATACAAAATGATACAAAGAGTTCCTAATGAAGAATACCCATTGAGACGTGTATCTTCGCCTTGGGCCTTACTCGCCAGGCCAAGCCTAAGGCGAGTACCGCCCGAACTTCTTTGCCCAAGGCGCTGATCCGCCGATGATCTGCCGATGGCGGTTCGATGCGCGCCGTTCGACAGAGCTGTTTCAAAGTGGATTTGAGGATGTTTGAGGTCTTGACCAAATGTGGAGTGATATGCGAAAACTGAGCAGCATATACCTGGACCTTCAAAGGGGTGGTTAATGGAGATCCCTAAGTGTCTATTGGAGACCCCTTTGAAGGTGCTGGTATAATGCGTTTGTCACGAAAGCTAGCCTTAGCTAGCTGGAGTTGCTCTTGCTTTAGCAAGTTAAGTGACGGGGTGGACGCACCTCAGAAACCTCAAATAATTGATTAAATCAATCTTATGGACCCCCCCCCCCCCCCGCGGTTCGACTCCCCCCTGCGCGCGGTGAGCGGGACCACCAAGCAGCTGCAGCACACCAAGCATCTGCAGCGCCCAGCGCAGCAGCGGCAGCAGCAGCAGCAGCACCAGCAGCAGCAGCAGACCACCCAGCGGCGGCAGCAGCAGCATACCCAACGCCGCGGCAGCAGCAGCCGCAGCAGACCACCCAGCGCCAGCAGCAGCAGCAGCAGACGACCCGGCGCCTGCAGAGCACCCAGCGCAGCAGCGCCCAGCGCAGCAGCGGCAGCAGCAGCACCAGCAGCAGCAGCACCAGCAGCAGACCACCGGAAGCCCGGCTAGCTTTCGTTCACCCCCTCTGGCCTCAAGTTTTAAAAAACACATGTCCCTCATGACCAGAGTGATATGGCAACGCCGCACACATGTTTTTCGACCGCACTTTCCATCCAGTCAGACCTCAATTATTTGGTTTGATGTTTTCACCAGGAATCAGACCAGTCACTACTCAGACACTCCATGGGACTGGAATATGCGCGATTATGCGCCTATTCTTTGTATACATTGACCCCTGAAATCAACATAATAAATCAACATCCCCAACTGATCGGTCAATATGCCAGCTCCATCAGTCGAGTTTGGTTTACAGTTCTGCTAGTAGGTAAATCGAAGATCTTGACTTTGCTGTTAAGGTCACCCAATGGACCTTCGCTGTTTTAGGTGGTGTTTTGCTTTTTGGCTTGGTTTCAAGTTCTACGACCCCCGAGCTGAGAGCCTCAGGCGCCACTTGCCGCTGGCAGCGGGATGAGCGAACTTTTGCAACGTGTCAGTGCCATCGGGGAGAAGATACTGGGACCAATTGGAGGCGGACATATTTACCAGCACTACCCAAAATTGGTGGTTTACAGACACCCCAACATGTTCACCATCCAATATCAATCCTTTGGTTGGTGCTGGTAGTTGTTAGTCTTCGCAACTGCTGTGGCCCTGCTTGTTTTTGTTTAAGAGGACATGTTCAGTGGTTACACTCGCCAGAGAAGCATGCCCCGACATGAATCTTTGCTTGTCTCAGACTCGGGCAGCATCTTCCTTCAACGTGCCCTGCACCGCTAGACCCCCCTGGGGCCCCAGCTCTTGGCTAGGGAAGGTCCAGAGTCCGCAGTTGAGGCCTGTAGCCCGCCGGGGGTTCGGCTTTGGTAGATTTGGACATGGATGAAGGGGCTTCGGCATGGCCATGTCACGGAGAACCAACTCCAAACCCCCGGGGTTTGCTCCATTTTTGATCCACTTAAGCCATGGTCTACGAGGCATGGACGGACTGCATGCCGTCGACCGGTCGCGAGGAAAGATCGTGAGGAGGCCAAGGACGGACCTGTAGCATTTCACCGAACGAATGGGGTATAGTTCATAGGGCGGATGTGTGAGATGTTGAACGCCATGCGGAACGCCCCCATCTTCTGTTCAGTAGAGCTGCTGCGCACCTGGCCACCACGACCAGAACCCGCGGACGGCGAACCGTGCGACCGGTCCGGCGACGCGACGCGACCGGTGCGTCGCGGCCAGGAGATCGGCGACATCGACCTGTCGCAGATCGATCCCAGCGCGGCGCGGGAACGTGTGACGTGCCCGCGCTGTGAGAAGGAGGTCTTGGCAGAGCACTTGGAATCCCACATGACTGCGCACAGCAGTGAGCCTTGGACGTCGATGGAGAGACCGGGCCGGAAGGAACACATATATACCAGAGAGTGGCCACACGGACGCTTGTTTTGGGGATGAGCTAACGGGCTATTGTTGCACGACGCCGAACGTATACGTATGTATTTGTATGTTTAAGTGCAGTGTATGCAATGTAATAATGTAATGTATTGTAATGTAATATGTAGTTTAATGTACCTTATAGTTATGCAAAAAATATGGTTGGTTAGTTTTGAACCTGTATTTTAACGATGATGTATTTATGTAATGCAACGTAATGTAGTGCCATGCAATGCAATGTATGCAATATCATGTAGTGTAACGTAAAGTAATGACACACAATGTAACGTAACGTAACCCAACGTATGGATGGATGCATGTAATTTATTGTAATGGTGTTATGTTATGACATGGTTGCTGCTTTGGAGAACAGGGACACCTTTGACATTTGCTTGAGGGGAAAGTTGCGAAGTGATGAGGCCTTGCGTCAATCGTTGAAGCTTTCTGAGTGCAAAGTGGCCGACAAAGTTCATTTCGAAGGCCACACCTTTTCCAATGATGTTGTTGCGTTGTGATGAGGCCTTGCATCAACTGTTGTGAGCGGCTCATAGAGCCGCCTCAGGCATGTTAGCGGGAAAAAAGGTTGATTCAAACATTAAGTTCCTATGAGTTCCTTATATTACAGCTCGTTTGAGACCGTACTTAAAGTCACTCAGTAACTTTACAGAACTTGTATCTTAGGTACAAGTTATACAAAATCAACACTGATAAGAACTCAAGTTCTCTAGGTTCAACTTACAAATTCCATCAAATTCCTGAAGTCTTACAAGTGTTATAAGTGCCACAGCCGCGTTCAGGAGATCCTACCGTGGCTCTTCTTGGGCGGAGCCTTTGGTCACAACTGACGGGTCCATGGCGGCTTCGGGTTGGACCGGGACGGGGACGCGTGGGGGGACGCCGCCACGCGTGGCCTGGTTCGACCGTGTCGGGTCACGGTCGTTCTGGGACTTGGCATAACTTGAGATCTTCCTTTCCGTCAGGAGGTTTTGTGTCTGATGTTTGGTCAAGGACTTCACATGCCAGGAACCTTTGATTTGCAAACGTAAAGACATGCAACGACACACCAGGTTCTTGAAGAATCCAGAAAACCTGAATGCAGACTTCTCCACAGAGCCTGTCCATGAGTTTCTGCAGGAGGGTTCCCCTTCCCTGCTGGTGTGTAGCCCATCTATCGGGTTGTCACCCAGCCCAGACCGTCTACGACATCTCATTCCGGACATCCGGAGAGGTGGCTGCAACGAAGAACCTTTTGCAAGCGGGCATTTTGGTTCCCCTGCCATGGTGGGGAAATCCAAGCAAAACTCCATTGTTGACTAAATAGTTGACGAAGATGTTGTGCGGTTTTCCGATTGTGTTGGATAACCTGGGTACCTCATATATATGGGGGATATATAATATATATATATATATACAATCTGTTTAAACAGCGAATGTTGAATTATTGCAGTTTTAATACAGCAAGTATATATTAAGGACAGGTTTGCAATGTCAGAATCTCATTAGAAGAATAACAAAGGCTGGCAAACAATGCAACAACTGCCTTAAAAAAACATAAGAACCTTGAGCAATACACCGTGGTGATTATCACATGTAAAAGCAACAAATGTTTAAATATTTGGTGGATCCAAGACCCAAGATTGCTCCTCTCGACACACTTTTGGGTGTTTGATCGTTATTTTTCCCTTGGGCACGAGATTCGACCAAATAGTGTGCGCCCACAGAATCTCTTAGATATTCTACAGAAGTGTGCGCGCCTTAAGTCAACTTTTTGCACTGGTCGAACCCTGCTCCGTCTACAAATGGTGAATGACTTGAAAGCTCCCCAAACTGGAGAAGCCAAAGGTCATTATGAGGTGTTTGGATTGGTATTAAGACTTAAACTGAAACCTTATATGATTTCTTGTTCCAACAAGTGCTTTTGGTTGCAGTTGGCAACTGAAACCCTTTTTCTCTGGAAAAGTTGTGCCTTACAGGAACTTGATCGTTTTTTTCCAAGATTCAACAGGTGATATCCAGAAGTTTGCACTTTGTTTTCATACTAACATGTTTCATTTTCGGCGACAATTTTACAGGAGGGTCCCAAGAAACACTCCTTGTGGAAACTGAGTCTCTTGCTGTCTAGCTTTACTTCGGCATCAACTTGAACTTGAACAGATATAATCCTTCTATCTAGGTAACGCGTATGTTATTTGATTGCAATTGTATGTACAAAAAGTATATACGCGTTCTGCAGAACGTAATGTCGACGTAGGATTAATAGTCAACAAGGTCAACAAGGTCTGAGATCGGAGGTATTTGAGGACCACATCCCCTTAAAGATGATGACCTGATGATCGAGGATGAGATGAGGACCTGGACCTGATGATGGATGATGGTTGATGGGATTCTGTGCCATGAGAAGCCATCAAAAGGATTGGTGAGCAGGATGAGGCAGTTGAGAGGTGGTGGTGAGAATCAGGAAGATGAGGAGATGAAGATATTGAATACTAGCAAAAACGAAAACACCACATAATATAAAATAGTAAACTATATTTTCTGGGGCAGCTGGGATTGATTAATAGGGGGGAGGTTTCTGCCTAGGAAAAAAATTAGGATGATGCCAAGGTGGAAATCTAGTTTTTAAATTAGTTTAGTATTGGGGGGGGTCGAGCTGGGATTGATTAATAGGGGGTGGTTACTTAATCCTATGTGCGCATTATTCTATATAACTATATTACATCATATACAAGAAGCATCAAGAATCAAGTTCACCCAACGAAAAACCTGGTTCACCGCTGGTGAATGAAATGGTGCAAGTCACTTTTGGTCAGCTCAATCCTCGACCTCGTCACTTGTGACGGGGCGTGGGAAAGCTGAAAGGACGGACAAGTGTTGGGATCCGGGATGGAGGACAAGTGGGTATATCCAGAAAAAGTGGAAAACCCATAAGCTTTTGTGGGATTGGTTTCGCCCTCTTCACAGGAGGCTTCTTCACGACTTGACCTGATCCCCTCAGCTTCCTTGGATAACAGTTAGCCTTTTTCAACGTGTTGGGTTGTGCACCAGGACGCGTGTTTGAAGAGTGACGCTCGTTTGGCCCTCGTCACTCTGAGTGCGAGACATTTTATGTTTGGTGCCCCAGCTCACAAGGCCAAGCTCGACCCAGCTCAAGAAGCTGTCCCAAAAAGGTCACGGGGCGGCGATGCAATGAAAGGTCACCAGCACATGCCAACGTCCCGCGCTCAACAAGCTCGCGAACGCTGGTTGATCATCGACGTGGTTGCTACAACCAAGGAAAGCGAAACTTGGAGAATGACCAGGAGTTGACCCTCCGCACGGGCATCACGCATGTCTTGAACTTGGCACCCGACGTGACCCTTGGGCCAGGCTGAGTCAAGGCTCGTTCAGGGCCGTTTTGGCATGAGAAGATCTGGAGGGGTTGTTCAAGGTTCACCGTGGTTCCTCACCTTTGCAAAGCAGAAAGGGTACGTCATTGAAGGTGGGTAGTTTTGGGACGACCATCAGATATAGAACGGCGATTTCAATGCACGACTTGGAGTCCTGAAGACACGGATCTTATTTCTTCGAGGAACGCTGGCAAACTTGGCCCAGCAACATCGTCGCACCTTTGCCCTGTAAGATGGCGTGCTTTTGGTGCTGCAGATATGTTCAAATCTGAAGCCCTCACACCAACTTTATAGGCAGATGTATGTTTGATTATGTTTCTCGTTTTTGAACACGGTCCGCATGAGGCACACCTATTCATGCATGCACAGTTGTATCTACAAATTGGCCCGTATACTAAGGAATCCACATCAGGATATCATTGATTATGTCACTAACTACAACCAAGAGCGGGGCCTTCCATTTGTTTACAAGCAGCTGCACTTCGGCGACTCCGGCAAGAATGGCACCGCTGAGGGCGGTTGGAGGACTCGGGACCTCCCACGAATCAGGGATGGTCGAGGGCATTGGAAGGGAGTGATGTGTAATTGGCCACCCAATCTGGAAGTGAGGTGTTCATGACCGTTAGCTGGAGCAGTCAGCAATAGAGGGTCACTGTTTTGGGGGAAAGGCCGAGTAATCTAAGCATCGTCCTCCACTGGTGCTGGTGATAAAAGAAGTGGCCCTAAGCCCTCCTACACTTTCCTCTACAAACCACGGGGCTTCAAGATAGTAGATTCCCAGTAGGTACTTGTATGGGTTTTCCACTTCCAGGTAGGGGGAGTGTGCAGTCCAATGATCAGTCCAGATCCTTTCCCCACAAACATGTTTGGATGCATGGACGCCAAACCCGGTCATGGACGCCGATGTGCCGACACATCTTTCGCTCATTTTCGCTCCATCAGACCCCAAGTCGTCACAGAGACGGCCTCCCGCAGTCTCGGCGGCCTCTCGCCCGTCGGGTGCGGACGGCGAAAGAGGCGACACGGCGGAGCAAGACATCCTGTCAGAGCTGCCAGGCTAGTTCGCGGACGCGAAACTTCCGACACGGGGGGGGGACATCATGAAAATGCTTCAACTCCGGGTGTTTGGGGCAAAACCCACTTGTAGCCGCTGGGTTTCAATGAGGCATGTATATAGCCTCTCGGGTTAACAAATTCCGGTTCCCGTGTTGGAGTTCTCCTGGAAGGTCTTAGCTTTCGTGAATCGTGGGGGTCAGAAATGGTACCCCAGCCCACTGGGCCTTTCATCCAGATCGCAACCCAAAAGGCCAAAGAGAAAACCATAGAAAACCTGGGCGCCACCTAGACCATCTACCAAAATGCATGTTTTTGTCAATGAAAGTGACAGGGGGTCGAAAATATCTCCTCACTTTTGGGGAAAACAAGCACCTAGGCGTTCCCATGGAGATGGAGTCGCCCCCCACACAGATCGGATTGCGCCTCGCGGGGTGTGGATCCCAGGCAAACCACTATGCCAGGGATCCAAGTACCTTCTGAGAAGGTGATTGGAGGCGCTGTTATGTAGGTTTGGAGGGTCCAAGTACCTTGTGAGAAGGTACTTGGATCCCTAGGGTATATAAGGAACCAGGGATTCTAAGTCTATATGGTTTTAGTCTTTGGAACCACTGGTTACCAGCTATAGTGGTTTGCCTGGATCGCCTGGGTATCATAGGACTCATGGGCCACCCCGGAACTGGCCCCAATCGGAGGGGAGCGGGAGGTGGATCCTGGAGGGAGTTCCGGACCGTCCAGGGGGAACAACTCGCAACACCTGCCGGGACGGGCCTGGTGGGGTGTCCTAGATGGACATCAGAATGGCTGGGTCGTCATTTCGGTGTCCTCCGCTGGCGCTGTCCTCCTCCGAAAACGCGCAGGTGCGTTGGAGTTCATCCACCAGGCCAAGCTGAGCCATGAGCAGCACCACGTCTTGGTGAACTGCGCCCAAGGCGTTTCACGCTCGGCCTCGGTGACCATCGCCTATCTCATCCAGCCCTTTGGCCCGGTGGTTTCTGACGTTCTGATCAAAAGCGCGCGGGATTGGGTCTATTGGTTCGGCTTTTCTTGGGACTTGGGGTTTTCGCTTGTAGGACGGTGAGGTGGTTGGCGTTGTTGTCATTCTTTGTTCGGGGGAGCCTTCGGGGGCCGATTCATGTGGAGAACACGTGAGATCCCAAGCACAAGATCCACTTCACCTACCCAGGAAAAGTGGCATACATACCCTTTGAACCTTTTGTGATGAGACATTTCACCGCTAAATAGATTTAAAGCAACCTAATTAGATAAGATCAGATGGAACAAGGCTAACCTGTACTTTCCAGGCACTGAGGTCAGTTGGGGTGTTTATACCAGTCCTGTGGGCGGACCGAATGTCAAGTCTTCTTGCTGATCTCGTGGAATTCCTGGCGTCCCATTTTCCCATCTCTATGTGCATCGTCATAGCCATGAGTTCGAATCCCCAACCTCCCAAAGAATACAACAACTTATAATGGATTTGCAAAGTCCAAAGAACAACAATTCCAAGTCTGAGACACACCAACCATATCAGACCTGGAGTCTCAAAGTACCTGAAAAAATGAGTACACAGCACCTGTTCCCATGTTCTAAGGTACTTGAAGTCTGGTCCTGCCGAACTTGGATAGAGGTGCCCGAACGTCACATCCACGAGCCCTGGATGGGACTCAAAACCATCCAACTCCATGTGACTCGTGCATTTACAGGTCAGGTCTCACTTGCCGATCACTTGTCGAAGCTACCCGGACACGAGGTATGAGGCCATGAGCCTCCGCCAAGCCTACGAACATGTGCTACAGCGGAGGACGATCGCAGATCCGCGCAAGGACGGCGGCGGGGCCAGATTTGGCAGGGGGAGACAAGAGAGCAGAGTGAAACACGCAGTCCAGAGGCAAAATCATAGCCTTTGATAGCCAGGGTCATGTAGAATGAGATATATTCAGTGCGGGCTGAAATGGCAGTTGTTGTCCCGGCGGGCGTTCTATTGCTGGTTCCAACGCCTGAACTTTTGCAGCTTATTCTTTTGCCCTGCACGTTGTTTTCCCTTCAGTTTCACTGTCGCGCAACCGCGGAAATTTCAGGGAGCATATAGAATATGATAATAATCAGAACCTTGCTGCAACAAACTGGCCTTCGCGCAACCGCGGAAATCGCTCGCAGGAGTTCTTGAATCAGCTGGGCACTTTTGAGTGCCAAATCTTTGGCTTCGCCACTCCCAGCTTAACAGGCGAAGAGATTTTCGCCCATCGTACCTTGCTGAATGTGGACGATGTCACACTGAATACCCACACCCCGCGCCTTGGAGAGGAAGTGCAAGCCAGTGAGGTCCCGTGTAGCAGCTAGTGGCCTTTGACAGGTGGAGAGTCGTGGTTTTTTGGCAATGAAGATTGCATGGAGGAGAGCTAAACTTAACCAGAAGCATCAAGCCATATCAAGCCTCACTGTGATTGCTCTAGCTAGCACGAAGTATATCGAACAATATTGTGCGTATTTCAAGAGGTCAAGCAGTCCACTCGTTCCTTTTGCAGACATGGAGATCCTGTAAGCGCGGCGATCTGTGATGTTCGCAGCATGGCATTTCTAGTGTTTGCATCACTTGATATTTGGCGTCTAGATGCACGGTTTCCTTTGATTCTGTGATGCAATGATTCATCGTTTTTGGGGTGCTCAATTTCATTAGTTGACCTCGATCGACCTGACCAGGGCCGTGGGTCGTTTTGCAGCGCTTTTCAGCTCCAACTCAGGGCGAAAGCCACTTCTTCGACGCCGCAGGCGCGCACGCTGCGCGCCACGCTTCGCGACAGGCTTCGCGTGGCTTTGTAGACGACGTTCCCTTGCGGAACACCAGCATGGCTCGCAGGTTCAATGAGGTTCCAACAATTACACCCGGGAAGATTAACATGGAACCTGAAAATGGACCTTTGGAAGACTACTTTCCTCTACAACCCGGTGGTTCTTCAGTTTCTATGTTGGCCTCTTCCCGGGTGTAGAGGAGCAAGTTTCAACCATTTGGGATGCTCGAAAAGCCTTCAGCGTCTCAGCCTCTGTGCCACAAGCTGGTGGATGCCCATTTGGATGGCTTCTTCTCGGTCCTTTCCTTCGGTGGCGAAGGGTTTGAGCGGACGAACGGACGGGATTTGAGGGTGCGATTGACCAGAAACACACACGAGACCAAAAGGGATCCGCCAGCTCGTTTGCAAGGGAATGAAAGACATTTGCACAAAAGCCAGAGTCTGTCAATCAACATCATCAGCTAAGTCCGGATTGGCCGCAACATGTGTTTTGAGAAGTCCGCAAGTTGGCTGCAGCTAAGCAGTTCAATCCGGATTGAATACTGAAGAATTGTTGTTTTCATGAATCGGTCTGATGATGAGCCTTTGGAGCCATCCTGAACCCCGTCAGGGGTGAACTTAATCCATGTTTGTTTTCAGCATTGGGAGTCTGGGAGTTAACAGATCAGTTAAGTTATATATAACCATTCTCATAATTATAAGGAACCACACCACTCACGGCTTTGCTCGGTCTTCGTCATTCCCATTGGTTCCAATCGTCATTGGATGAGCTCGTAGCTCGGTTCAGCTTGGCTCCCCCAGTGTCACCAAACTGTCAACTCAGCTGTTGGACTGTCGGAGGAGCTGTCGGAGGCATCGACGAATGCCATGGACAGTGACGAGGTGAGACCGGGACCGTCGGTGAGCGGTGATGGCGATGGGTTGTCAAGCGGATGTTCAAGGGAGTGTGCTGATGGTTGGTGTTTTTATGGTTATTATGTTTTTTAGGGGAGGTGGCCTTTTTTTCCACTTACATACACAGATTGTTAGCTGCCCTCTATCCAACCATCACCCTTGTTTTCTAGGTGGCTGCGGTTCCTGTAGAGTTCAACAGGCATGGCTACACTCAACAGGTGTAGCGCCTGGAAGTTTCAGAGAATTCCTGCAGCCTGAGCAAGGTAGATGCCCACACAGATGTATACTATACAGCTGCGAAATGCTGCAACGCTGTGTGCCTTGCCTCTCCCTACAAAAACCAGATAAGACCAGATGTAGGATACTGTTTGATTCGTTTCCGTCCACTCTGGGCCTCACGGACGAAGTTCAGGTCTTCTATAGGCGTTATTTTTCCTCCACACCATCCGGGGCCACGTGGGGCGTGGGCCGCTCAGCGTCCGTCTCCAGGCGGCGTCCTTCTATTGCCGACGCCTTTGTTACGCAGCCGTGGCCAGCAAGGCCGAACGCACCCAGACCCCCCCCACACCCGGCGGAGCGGACACGGTCGGTGGTTCGGAGCAGGCTGACTTCCCAGTTTAGCCAACTGGTGGAAAATGATGAGAACAAAAAAACAACATGAAAAGCATATGAAAAAACACACCCAAAAAACTTTCATATGGTAAGGCCAGAATCCTTGATTTGAAAAAAAAAAACGAAAAAACGAGTCAAAAAAAAGTCAACTGGAAAAGTCAAAGTCAACAAAAAAGTCAAATTGAAAAGTTAAAAAAAATCGAAAAAAAAAGTCAAAAAAAAATCAATCATAGACCACAGCTCGAAAAAAACAAAAAAATTAAAAAAATAAACAAGCAAAAACAATCATTAAAAAAAAAAACAACTCGAAAAAAAAATCGAAGAACAAACACAATAAAAACAACAAAAAAAACAAGGCAAAAAAAGGTCGGATCTGGGCAAATTGACTTTTTTGACTTTCTGAACTTTTCTGATTTGACGTTTTTTTGACTTTCACTTGCGGGATTGACGTTTTTTTTGTTGACTTTGTGTGACTTGTTTTTAATAAAATAGAAAACTGGCTTTTTCCAGTGAAAGTTGTTTATAATAGCTGCTATATATATATAAATAACATGAAAAAGCACAAGTTTATTAGACCATTAGACCTTTAGTGTTTATACATGCTGTTTACTCTTCAGGCCAGGGAAACCGAGGGGGTCCGTCACACGCGCGGATGACGCTCTCATCGCAGGCGCCCAAGGGAAAAGGCAAAGGAAAGCGGCCACCGCCACCGAAGGCAGGGGCGATGCCCGTGGTGGGAAACCCGGCCTCACGCTACTCCAACGCATCAGAACATCCTTGAGTCCGGCAAGATGTTCTCTTGGCTGTGGATCAAAACCTTAACCCCTGATTCCCGATTTCGGTCGACCTTCCTCGTTGTCTATTCAGTCAAATTTTGGTGTGGGTTTTGACCTACGGTCACTTCAGGGTCCAAAAACGAGCTGTTGTTTGGACAACTTGCTATGCTTTTTAGTGATACAACAGTCGCCCTGCTTAAGCACCGCTATTCCACCCAGCTGCACGTCCTAATCAACAATAGGCCAAAGACCCAAAGGAACGCCTTCGAAAGAACAGGGATCATCAAAGGCCCATCTGGGGTGCGTCCCATTACTGTACATCATATTACATCCCATTTCTGGTAGAATAATTCGACAGTCAACTAAAAGAATATCGCCGTTGTTGGAGAACCACCCTGGTGTTCTATGGCCGAGACCCCGCGAACCGATATGAACATGCATTACTCAATGAAGTCGTTCGGACCAGGTTTCGACGTCGGGTTCATCCCGAACAGGGCTGCCGGGCCGGATGCCTCGCTCGAGAGCGCCCGGCAGCGCGCCAGGCCAAAGCCCCCGTGGCTCCGCGAGACGTTGAGGTGACCTCGCGCGCCGAGCGGAGCTGTTCCGTCTCGGAGCTGAAACAGACACTTGGCGGAAGTGGCTACACGGTGTATGGCCTCTTGAAAAAGGATGAAAAAGGATAAAATGTTCTTTCAATATGAAAGTTTGAGAGTTTTCTCACGCCCAAGAAGTCGTCAGTGAATCACTAAGATGCTCCTTTTCCGTGTGTCGAGCCCGCCAGAAAAGTGGCAACATTTGACGGTGTTGGGAAAACACCTGGCTTTGCTTCAGGTGATTTTTATGTTTTCCCGGTTAAATGATATAAATTCCCTTCCTGGGGCCCACGATTCTCAAGCTCCTAAGAACATGTGGTCATGCTCCAAGCGCACTCACTTTCCAATCGACAGAGGACCAAGCCGACAGGAAGAGTTTCATGCATTTGTTCGGAGTGAGATGCACACCTCGTTTCACAAACTAAGCCGAGAAGGAAAGCCAAGAGTTTTGGTTGATGGTGAGGGTAACAGCTGGTTTATGCAGATTGCGTTTAGCACATGCAGGCGGCCCGAAAGTCATCACCTAAAAGGGCTTGAGCAATGGAGAGTACAACACTCTCAGGTGCCATAGTCGCCCGGCTTCATGAGGAGGAGTTGGGCTGCATGGTGGAGAGTGGAAAATATGTTTTGGATCTGAAGAAGCTCTTGAGCGGTCGAGTTGGATACTCAAGATTTCGACAACGACTCTTGAGTGAAGACATGGGCGAGCTTCCGGATGACATGCCTGCCAGGCAGCTGTCAAGTTTGCAGTTAGTCATACTGGACTTTTGTGTGCCTGAGATGCCCGTTTGGGAGGCACTATGCCGTGCGTGTGAGAACTTTCGAATTGTTGAAGTCGAAAAGTTGCTTAAGAATCCACTGGACCCCAACGGGACAGGTGCAGCAGGTAACCCTCTACCACTGCTTGTTGCATCAGAACATGGCCATTTGGATGTGGTGCGGTTGTTGCTGGAGGCTGGAGCTGACACGAAAGCAGCAGACGCAACCGGGGCAACTGCCATGATGCACACGTTACGGCGTAGAACCCTGCAGGCAGCTTGTACTCTCCCTGAGGACTCTGCCTAGCGAGTGGCTTTGCGTGTCCTTAACCCGCGACAGGTTGGGACACTCGCAGCGCTACCCACACCGCTTGCGGCTCAGAGTGGCCGCTTAGAAGTGGTGCGATTGTTGCTGGAGTCTGGAGCTAACACAAATGCAGCTATGGCAAATGGGGCAACTGCCATGCAGGCTGCAGCAGTCGGAACGTGGCAGGAAACAAAGGCTGGATGAAGCCCCTAGAGAGGTTGAACAGCCCCATAGCCCATCCCATATGTACCACTCCAGGGTCCTATAAGGTCTCTCAACCTCTCCTGGCCCCTGAGTGGATCAGGTGGAGTCTGGGGATTGAAGCTTGACCCTCCATCCCCTCCATTCATGCAAGTGGGAAATGCTTTCTCCACACACGGGTGGTGGTCCACTTCCGTGTTAGTGAGGCGTTTTCTCGCTGCGCAAGAGGAAAGAGGGTGGCCATTTGGGGACGTCCCGGATTTCAATGACGATCTCCTCAACATGCCCGAACCATTTGAGTAGTTTTGAGTATATTTGAGTTAATGTGTTCCTCATATAGAGGGTGTTTAGATATGTTGAGATCCCTCTCGCACGTTGAGATCTTTTTTCCCGCAAGATGGCCTCTTCCCAACTCCGGGGTTCAGCTGGTTTCACGGGCCAACTCCAAGGTTCGTCGGTTCGTTCGACCCGGCCACACGTCAGGAAGATGGAGACCATCGGCAAGAATCTGGGCCACAAACAGAACAGACTATTGGGATTGGCCAGTCCAATATCACCTCCAAGGAACACATCACATGGAAGTGGAACCTTCCCTGATCGTTTTCAGGAAGGCCGTCTTCCAAGGGACCATGCCATCCACTTCCATGTTAGTGAGTCAGAGCGCATGTTATTTGCAATGGTTTTAGAATGTGTCAGCTGCTTAATTGGTTCATAGATGTTCAGTGCGATGGCGGGCCGAGCTGGGCGCGGGGATGGTGAGCTCGCCACAGACAGCAGCTGTGAGTGCCACTTCCCTTTTGCACGAAGGGTGCCAGAACCCCCGGGAAGTCCTGTCAAACAAAACAGCAGTGGGTCACTGATTGGACTTGATTGTGTGTGTTTTCCTCGCAAGTGGTTGACCAAAAGGGGCCAGGAGCGGCAAGACAAGTCTTTGAAGGTTTGAGCCAAGAGTTTTCAGGTCGGTGGTTGAACAGAAGACAAAAAGCCAGCTGTGTCAAGCAAACTGCCGAACTATTCATGAACTCTTGGAGAATCCAAAGGATCCTTCCAGCAGTCACAAAGGTGGGCTGGTGTTTAATCAGTCCCCAAGTGAGTGGATAATGGGCACCCCCAACCTCCATTGAGCACCCCTTTGTGACTGCTGGTTGATGGAGCTTCCTGTTTTTTTGCTTTGGGCGAAAGGCTGCAGTTCTTGCGCCAACGCCCCCGATCATTTGCGCGTCACGCCCAGGACGGCATGCACGTGGTGCGCCCCAGCCGTACCGCGTTGTCCCCGGCCGAGGAACAACCGAGATCCCGACTCCTCGAACGACTCCGAGGCCATCGCCTGGCGAACGCGGCGGCGCCTAGCGGGGTTGGACCGGTCGTCCTGTGGGCCCGGTTCCCAGCGATGGACCGAAGAGCGCCACGGCGTGTCCAAAGGGTGCTGTGCAACGATGACCCTGATGACCCTGTTGAGGAGATGATGCAGTGGACCCAGTGTGATCTCATGATCAGTTTGCTTTTGATCGGTTTTTGCTGGTTTTTGTCTCATGCTCTTGGGTAGTTTGAGGTTCCCAGGGACATGACTTGACCTGGACGTGTTGGTTGAGATCGGTATAGCCTTGCGCAGAACTAAAGCCCAGCATAACCCGAAACACTAATAACCTCACCCCTGTAACTCGCAGTTATTGCTTTCTCATCCCTCGGATGTTCAGTGAAGCGATTTTAGCTATTATCTTATCTGCCTATACTTGACAGTGGCCCTTGTGCCCCCCTGCAACACCCTTGTGCCCGTGGCAGGAGGCCGGCTTGGGCGACGAGGATGGGAGGGCTGGGGCCGATGTTTGACATAGAGAGGAGACAGAGGTGGTCAAGGGAAAAATTCCAGCAGCCATAGGGAGTATATTGCCGGAATTGGTGAATTTGTTAGGTTTCCTCATCATTGCTCGCATTGGGCTTTCTTGAAGGCCTCTGGGCACCCTCAGCTGAACAAAGGTAAACACTATCTACTTGTTCCCTCACGTTTGTCAACCTGAAAGTTGAAGTCCACTGTCCTCTCTGTTTGGTCTCCCGCTTTCGGGGAGTAAGTTTCTCAGCATTTGGTGTTTGGTGCGCCTGTATGGGTGCTCAGAAACTATGTACTGTGTGGTGCTTGACAGGTCAAATTCAAAAAAAACGCAGCCAGCGACAATATTTTTGTGTTCACCCGTGATTTATTGAAGAGACAAACGTTGTTTGCAGTCCAAGCAGCAATTCAGAGAGACGTAGTTTTCTCAAGTCAAGAAAACTGTAGCTGCTTTGTGGGAAAAGTGAGATACAATTTGAACCTCGCAATTGCCTGTTGGGATGTTCAATGGAGACAGGCAGTCACAGGAACTACCTGGAGAAACACTTACTGGACATAATTTTCAAAATCACTGGAGGCAGTCATGGACAGAAGTCTTTTCTGCACATGTCTTTGACAAACTTTGGTGAGGAACAGTCCCACGCAGCAACTTGAAACCTCACTGCCAAAGAAATATTGTGTGTAAGTTGGCCAGGAGTAGGGTCAAACAACTGGAGACTGCAATTGCTGTATACACGTTCAATTATATTTGTTTAAGAGAATGCCGCAAAGTCCACTACGCAATTTGAGAGGCCAAGATCGCAGCAGTTCTTTCGAAATGCTGTGATCTCACATAAGGGAAAACTTTTTGCTGACAAGTCAGCTACCCATTTTGCGCAAGTGACTTTGCTGCAGCTGCAAAAAGGCAGTCTACAAAATGTGCCTTACTGACGTACTTTTGGCCAAAAAATCGAAAATTGCCGTGTTCAGTTTCTTGAGCTGATGGCTGCTTGCTATGAAATGGCCAATGTCCACAAATAGAGCCCCAAACCGGCGCCGCATTCACAAATGGAGTTGCAACGTGACCAAGTACTGTCGTTCGTACCACTGTAAATAGAAAAAAACACTGGTCTCAAGGGCTAGGTGTTTTCTCAATGTGTCAACTTTAAATTATGTGCACGACGGCTGCGTTGCTTACGTTTGCCGTAAACCATTTGTGTGCGACAATTTGGTGCACTTGGTGCACGAAAATAACTTAAGTGAGCCCTGGACAGCAAATACATGGAAATGATATTGAAACATAATTTTGTTGTAAACAAAGCTGACCCATTACAATTGAAAAAGAAAAAAAAACATGTTTTGGTGCGCAACCATCATGAATGATGAACCTACTCAGCCAAATGGTTAAGAGCGGTTAAGAGATTGCTATCAGCAAAATCCACCTCCAAAACCTGGGATATAACCGTACTGGGTGGAAACCCCGCCGCTTTTCATCTACCACTGATGGATCCGGGCGTCTCGTCTACACCTAGTGAAACTCTTATAGAGAGTCGAGAGTAAATACATTCAGGAGTCGCGTCCGTCTGGCGTACTGTCAAAGGTTGGCATCGAAACCTGGTTTTGGGATTGGAATACGAATGCTGGTCACTGAGCGCCGCCAAAAACCAGGAAGTCAAACTCCAAAAGAGCGACAAATGCGGCTTTTCAAACTCCACAGCAGACGCGTCAAACACCGCATGTGGTGAACTTTGCTTTACTGTTGAGGCCAGCAATGCTGCAGATTCGAAAGACCTTTAAGATAATGTCCATTTACTTAAAATATTTTAAAATACCATTCTACTCAAATTCTACCTCAGGTGAGCTTCAGGTGCCGCAGGAGTACTGTCATCCTCAGTTCGGTCCGTGCTCGCCCCAGGAGATCTCCAACCACTCGAAACAACGGCCCAGCGTCATGGTCTTTCGGCGCCGACGCCATACGCGCGAGATGGGGCGGGCCGAGGTGCACCGTTTGACCAAGGAAGCAGGTGGATCACCAAACTTGATGGAAAACGGGGCACCGGCACTTGATGGATTGGCCAGGCGGAAAGTGCAGGAAAATATATCACCGGTGTTGACCTCAGAGAAATGACTCCAGGCGTCAGGCTCGAATTTCCACCTTTGGGGCGTATAAAAACGTGTGCCCTTGTGAGAAACATGCAGGGGTTCCACTTCTTCACAAGTTACACCTGGCTTTTGGTGGCTGGTTGATTCTTTTTCTGTGGGTCCGACTGTTGTTGGTAATCCACTGGCAGAAACCAAAAAGACATAAAAAGAGCCAAAAGAGGTCATTTCAAGTCGGGTGTTCCTGGGGCAATGTGGCATGGGCTATGGAGTCTGATAGGAATTCAGTGCATATCCCCCAAACAAAAATGGTTCCTATATATTCCTATACATTATGTCAATGTGTTTATATATTGTATGTGTAAATGGGTATCCTTGGGTATCTATATTTATGCATATTGGAGGCTTCGATCCCAACCAAATCACTCGATTTCTCGCTTCATTGACGAAAGACGACGCAGTACCGTACCATCGTTCAGGACTGGTACGAGTCAAGTGGGCCACCTGCCGTGACGAAGAGCACCAGCGAGTGGTACTTGGATGGTAAGCCACGCCCCAGCACGCGTTCCCTGGAGACCGTGGTGCATTCCCTGGCGGAGCAAGACTGAGAAATAAGAGCCAATGACCCCGAAAAAAGCGGGCCGCCCAAAAAAAGCAACACAGCCTCGCGCACCGAGGCGCCGAAGATACACAAGTGTGGGATGTTGAAAGAACATCAACTTTCAGGGAACAAAATCCGGCTAGTTGGAGCTTCCAAAAGATTCTGGGCATGTGGTCCGGAAAGGCTTACCTTGCCCCCCCATCTCTGCGTATACGTACAGGAGCAATGTGGAGCTTCAATCATTGGGGCAAGCCAAATTATGAGTGGTGGAAAATCAAAGACTAAGCACGCGCAAGATTTAAAGCACCGTGAATCCTGCAGCCCTTTCGCTGATCTCATTTTGCAAGATTAGTTGTAGTGCAGGTAGCGAGCCTCATGCTAGGAACAACCATTCTGGCAAACAGGAACTGCCTTCACAAAAATTGGCGAACATGTTTCTGCATGTTTTTGTCATGAGCTGTTGGAGCAACCCACACACTGCACACTCACTTGATCCGCCTCGCTGAATGCCACGGAAGGTCACCATTCCCTAGATCAAGCGCTTTAGATTCACAAGCCCCTTCAAAGTGGTGGCTCGTGGCCAATGTGGTGCGTGCGCACCACCATGTTGGCGCTGACATACTGCAACCATCATGGTGTCCCTTGAATCATCCTTCCTAACCGAAGGCATCACCCATTTTTCCTGTCACATTCAATGGACCTCAGGATGGCTCGGAGCCGTGCTCCATGGATTATCATTGTTGGTATGCTTAAGGCAGCCAACTTCCGGAAGCTCAGCTTCATTAGCGGCCGCCCTGCAGCAGCTCATTGTGGTTGTTCTTTCCGGCCGCCCTGCAGCAGCGCGGACGCGAACCGCGAAAAAACCACGCGCGGGTCACCGCGAAGCCAACGATCTGGGTGCGATCGAGATGTGAAGACCGACTGTTGGACATCAATGGAGATCACTATAGAGGCTTCAGACAAACGTACTACTGTAAGTCTCTTCAAAACCGCTGCCATATCCTAAACCACGGTGGATCAAAGTGGGAAGTTCGGTTATCCGATCCACTTGGTGAATGACTTCTGAACAAATTCCAAAAAAAGCCAGCCTTGGCGATGCCGCATCGTGGTAAAGAAATCTCCGGTCGTGGTGATCTCACCGGATCGCTGTTGGAGATGACGGCAACCCGGGTTTCCATGCAGAAATCTGCATGATGTAATTGCCATTTGCCTCAGCTGCGAGCGAGAGTCCCAAGTAGCTCGCCGATCTCGGCAAGCACTCTTTCGGCTGGTTTTCGAAGGCTCAACTCGGCTTAGGGCTTAGGGTGCGGGTCATCATGTTAGCTGAAGCTGTTGACCCAAGGCAGCAGAGGTTGAAGAACCCTATAGACTATCCTATAGGTACTATAGGTACCCCTGTAGGGTCCTGGAGTCCTATAATAGGTCACTGTCCACCTCTGTAGGAAGGCTGGCATGAAAACCCAACCGGTCGACCTGTGTCACCTCACGTGGTACCATCCAGCCTACGCTAGACTCCGGGGGCTGGCAGGTGGACGAACAGAGTCTTGCAGACGAAGTCCGGACACCAGCAATTATGGGATCGTCAAGGCAATTGAGGAGGCTTCTTGGGCTACTTTTCTGGATAGATTTGATCGTTCTTTTACCCAAAAAGCATGGCCTATAGGGCCGTGAATCCCCACCCGGAACAGATGACAGATGGCCCCGAGTTTCTGGACAGATGGCCAGCAATCAAGAATGATCCAGAACTTCCAAGCTTTGCGTAAGCTCTCCGCTTGCAGCTTTGAGCTCAGCGGCTCCTGCATCGTGTGGCAATTCGTGCACTGAGCACCCGGGCCCGGCGTCGAATGCCCAAGAGACGTCGTTTTTGGGAGTCTTTAGGTGACTGTGTGGGAGGTCTGGCCAGTCAGTGACCAATCTTTACGACATATCTTATAACCAGTTTTGGACTTTAGTTTCCTTGCAGTTGGGCATTTGCATATTCGCATTCTGAAGAATGCGAGGAATGTTGTTGAAGGGGAAAGTACCTGTAATTGCTTGGACTCACAGATTCAGAGCCGTGCTAAGCCTTGCAAATCTCTCAATGGCATCAAGCAGCAGTGGCCTCTAATTACTAAACGACATTGTTGCTGGCCAGTCGCATGATTGATTTGTGTTGCTTGGTGTCGCATTGGTTTAGCTTGATTCGACACATCGGGGTTCGACACAGGAGGCCTGGAGGCAAGCCGAATGAACGTGCGTAAAAGTGTTCATGATGGACACGACAAAAAAGAGAGGGAGGGAGGGAGGGAGGGAGAGAGGGAGAGAGGTTGAGAGAGAGAGAGAGCACACAAGGACACAAGGACCAACGGGCAGGGATGTGAAGGAAGCAGGGTCTAGCGCGGTTGTTGGTGGTGGATACCCAATTCTGCCCAAGACCACGCTTCCTCCTGGTTCCAGCTCATTGGCTTAGCAGCTTAGCCAGTGAGAGATGCACGTGCTGTTTCGTTGCGTGAGGAGCCCAGCACCACCAGCCTGTCCGAGGCCTTGAGACAACCTTACTTAGCTGAGCCGGAAGGATCAAGGATCAAGGGATCAGAAGGATGGGGGTGGGCGGGTTGTGGCACGAAGCTTCTGACTGGAAAGACGCTGGAATGACTTGGCATGACACTGAACCGTAAACCATCCTGACCTGAACCAAACAAAACAGTCTTAGTGCATGGAACTCTCCGGTTCGTTCATGCTTCGTTGACCCTCATCATCGTTCGTTATGGTTCGGGGCCGCACTGACCCAGCTGGTTGAACTGTTTAAGCTTTTCCCAGCTGGGCGTGACCCGGTCCGCAGGCCTCGCTGGACCCCTTCGCAGTGGTGCGCGGTCGGAGACTCGGTGCGAGACAGACAGGGTCGGATCGCTTCTTCTGCCGGTTCAGACGTACTGGCAAGACACGTCGACAGATCAGCACAGGAGAGGTCTTCAGGTCAGAACAGGTCAGAACTACCGTAGTTGAAATGAAATTCCTTAATGAATCGACTTATGGTGTGTGGTGTGTTTGTGACCTGGAGCACATCTTTTTGATGTTGCTTCATGGAATTCTTAAGTGCCGGTAAAGCATGGGATCATCAAAAGCTCCAATGAATTACTGTATATAACTTATTATAACTTATATAAGAATTATATATAGCAAACACATAGCAGCCCATTTAAACAACCTCCTTAAAATTCGGCCCTTTGGCTCGGTGTCGTTCGTCCGTTTTATCGCGTCAGTTCGGCTTGTGTTCCTCCCGCGCGTCTGGGAGGGTTCCCACCCAAGGATTTACATAGAGTCTAGAGGAGGCTGCTTGCAGGTCCTCCTCAGACCTGCATCAAACAGACATGTTGGCAGCCCATTTTGCGTGGTCTTCGTTTTGGAGAAACCAACTGCAAACCATCCTGGCAGAAGCTGTTCACCGCTTTTCTACGGAACGAGCACGGCAGGTTCTGCGCGCCCCAAACCATCGGGTTCAGCGACGTCCGTCCATGATCGTATGTTGAATTCCTGCCCCTGTCAAAACCGGCGAGACATGTCGGCTTGAGTCGGCTCTTGTCTTCCGTTGGTGACCTTGCGTGCAGCCTTGTCTACAGAGTTGACCCTTGGTGAAGCCTTCAGCTTGGTTCGCATGGTTCTTTCTGGACTCATCCACCTCATCTGCCACAAACAAGGCATCCCGATCTCAGGTCCTTAGGATGGCTCATGTGAAGAACACGTCTAGCGAGTAGTGATGCGTTCTTTCACTGCTTAAAACTGGACTCGCCTCGGCCAGCCCTGCGGCTTGTGGCTTGCGTGTACTCTTGACGCGCTGCCTTGCTCAAGGGCGGGGGGGCCCGCAGGTCCGCCAAAGTGAGCGGGACCTGTCCAAAGGACTGGGGAGAGCTTCTCTTATGCAAGAGATTGCAGAAAGGATCGCCCATGAACCATCAGAAACACATACAACAATCTGGTGCACTGAGCTCTGAACAACATTACGTCGTCTTCCAGTTCTTCCCAAACCCCCGACCCAAACCCAGAACCTACGGTCGAGATCGGTCCCAGTCACGGTCTTTCCCGGCCATGACGGTGGTGCGGCTCCATGACTTGCCAGAGCCCGTGCTGGAGCTGCTGATGATGCTCGGAGATCCACAGGGCTCGGACGGACCGAGCTAGCAGTAGCTCATAGCTATAGTTGAAAGATGTTGAAACATGGGTAGGATCGAAAGTACTCGGGTCTATATGCTTATAGTTGTTTAGAGAGAAGGGCTCTTGTATACACATGACGTGTATATACGGTCACACGGTCTATAGACATGGAAAAACTGTCTCGTGTGACAGTGGGACACCCGTCGCCCGGTCCCAACCGGATGGTCCTAACTGCCGGTGCTTCACACCCGCGAAGTCCCGCGAATGTTCGCCGGACCAGATCGAGGAAGACGGGGACAAGACGGGACCAGATGCCCGGCACTCTTTTTCGGGACTCCAGGGGGACCAATCACTCTGTTTGAAAGTTGGGGGGGGGCAGTGGAGGTTTCCACCTCACTCAAAGCAAAGACGCGGAAAAAGGTCAGGTCAACCAGTACATGTTCTACCAGCACCTTCATGTCGGGATCACCTGGCTGGAAGCCCCTACACTATTAAGGGACCTCCAGCCAGGACACCCCTTTTTCAGGTCCAGGTAGGAACATGGCTCGGGAGGCCGTTTTGCCTAGGGATTTTCGGGAGATTGGGCTCTTCGGGCCAGAGATTGGAGGGCTCACCTTTTGTTCTTTGGTTTTGGTGAGACGTCGGAGCGGTCAAGAAAAAAGGGATGTGGGTCTTTTTCGGGAAGGGTGAGTACGGGTGGATGAGCTGGTGATGAAATGATGGTTGCGAACCCAATCAGCTCATCCACCCTTCCCAATCACCTGGATGAGCTGGTGGAGGTTCCAAAAGTCCCAAATCAGACCCCACATCACTCGGCTGCGGGTGTTGGGATCCGTCCGGCTCAGGATGTGCCTCGTGGACGCGGCGTATGATTGCACCTCGGTGGACGAAGACGACATGTGTTGGCCACCAGTGGTGCAGCGGATCATGGGACGCAGCGGTTTATTGCGTGCAAGCACACGAAGAAGCTCTTCTGCTGGAATTCCACAAGCTCTACGATGAACATCGACGAACGTGTTGTTTCCCTTCCAACCACTTAGTGCAACCACTTGATGTTCTCGATGGTCGCTTTTCCCAGAGGCCGGACAGTTCGTCAGAGTGTATCCAGGTGAGCATGCTGCCAAGCTCTTCCGTGCCCACTTTGATGGCAATACTGCAGCAGAGGACCGCTTTTCACCCAGAGCCGGGAACCGGAAGCATCGTTGTTCTTGGCACGGCAAATTCTGGACCAGACAGATCTGTAAAGAAAGAACACTCAGGTCACCGGGTAGATCTTCCGGGTGTTGTCAGTTTGAGTTCGACATGTTTTAACCACATGGTAAAGGATGAATTCGGAACACGCCATCAAGCGATAGCGAGCTGTGCTGATTTGTTTTACTTTTTGTTGAGCTCGGCTTAGTTGAATGGATGTGTTGGGTGTTAGAATAGTGTAGAAGGGGCCCCTTGTTTTGGGTCCAACTGTACCTTTACTTTGTAGGAACCACACTTGGTCTCGGTGGCTTGGAATGAGTCATGGGCAACATGCCGGGGTTCGGGCCACGGTATAAGGTACCTCACATCAACCAACCCCGCAACGCGGGGCGGATGGTGTGAACTGTAGCGTGAAGTGTATATAAAATAAACATACTTCAAATGCCTGCCTGCAGACATCGGACGACCAATTAAATTTGGTACCACAATCAGGTGATATATGCATTGGTAACACCATTGCCCTATCAGAGGTTAGTTGGTAACACAATTTGGTAACACAATGCAACACAATCATTCAGATAGCATTACCCTATAAGAATTTGTGGTTGTGTCCAAAAGGCATCTCCAGCGCAGAGGAGTTCACTGGAGATGCCGTGCGAGGCATCCTCCGTGAGATGGTGCCTTGACGGATCCACCGAGCGCCAAAACCAGCCGCGCATCGTTTTTCTAGGGTGATTTGGTCTCTTCCAGGACACACCGTCGAGGTGTCTATGTAAATAGCCTCGCAAAAGCTGTGATTCGGGCCGGGGTGTCCATTAACCACCTCGACTGGTGGTCCTTGTTGATGTCTTTTTGTATTGAATTTTGCCGATATGATGACAATCCGTTCCGCGGAAGATGATGAACAATGATTGATCAAGATGGGCAAAGCATTTGATGATTGGTTAATGTCATGTGATAAGTAACCATAGACTGTGTCTTATTTCCAGTAATTGTCGGTAAAAGATTCTCACATCCTTAGCTTTGAGAACGATCTTTACTTGGCATCATCGGTAATGGGATATACTCAAGTTATCACTGATCACCGGCGTCATTCACCTTAGCATTGAAGGAAGATCCACCCAGCTGGCCAAGGCCCATGATGGAATGTTGCAGTTCCTTCATGCCGCCTCGTGTCAGCAGTTTGAGGGCAAAGTGGCAAAACAATGAGAGAGATAGAAAGGAGATGTCCCAAGAAAAAGGCCACACTCCGCGGATACCGGCCCGACAGAGGAATCTTGCCAAACTCCACCTCGAAGGCTCTGTCACCGTTGCTTCGCTTGGTCATGCTGCAGGTGAAATCAGACCCAGACGCTCCGTGTATGCCATATATGCCTACATTAGGGTAGGGTCAATGGGGCGGCTTATATTCCAGTCCCATGGAGTGTATGGCATGGGAGACCAACAAAGGTTGAAAGACCCTATAGGCTATCCCAGTTCGGTACCCCTGTAGTGTCCTAAGGTCACTTAACCTCTGTTGGGATCTTGTTGCTTCCGGGGGTGCACGGTCTAGCCCAGCCGTCGAGACTGATGAGTCCGAAACGAGACGGAGGCTGGCCCTGGCTGGGTGAGGGTCTGTCCTTCTTCCAGGTGGTGGATCTCCATAGGTCTCCCTATGTTAATACACGGCTTTTGCATTGGCCCATCAAAGTACTTCAGAAAATTAGTACACGTTTTATAGGGGTCATGTCCAATTTTTTGAGGTACTTTGGAGGGTCCAGGTAGAGATTTGTTGATGAATCTGCTGATCATGATCCTTTGCCCACACACCACCCTAAAAGCTGGGTAGCTAGTGTAGCTACCAGGCATGGGGGGTACCAGCTCTAAAGGGCCTAAACACAGAATCACCCCCCCAGGACTGGAGAGTGAGAGTGAAGGGAGGGTGCTTCATGGTCTAAGTCTGTCACAGGACGATTCGCTGTCTTCTGTCGGCGCTCTGAGCGCCTATAGAGTCAAGGGCCTTGAAGGGCTGTCCACAGGACGGCGGCAGTAAACATGTTCTTTCGACCCACCCCAGCCATGGTGTGTTGGTTTTGAGGGCCCAGAGTCTTTGGGCCCTTGGGGTGAACTTGGCCAAGGCCTGCACACCAGAGGCGCAACGCACACCAGAGGCCAAATTTGAGTGCTTTGCACCTCCTCCTCGACGGTTACCCGCAGGTCGGGTTGGCGTTTTCGGCAGCCGGCGATGAGTTCGTGCAGCCGGCGCAGCTGAATTTAGGTCATTTGAATTAAAAGATGTTGACATCATGTTTGTTCTGATCCTGTTAGCTTCTATCCAACAAACGGGTGGGAGAAGGGCCAAATTCTGCAGGAAGGAGGTGGAGGGAGGGAAGGGAGGGAGGGAGGGAAGGAGGGAGGGAGGGAGGGAGGGGAAGAGAGAGAGAGAGAGAGGGGAGAGAGGGGAGAGAGGAGAGAGAGAAGAGAGAGGGAAGAGAGAAAGAAAGAGAGGGAAACATTTCAAGACATTTCCGTGTTTCTTTCAGGGAGGGCTTTGAGGACAGTTTGTTCAGGATACCCTACCCGTAGGTGTTGAACTACACTGTGGCCTGTGCTGTGCCCACCCCAATGTGCACAAAATATGCCATATATACGGGTTGGTTACTGACCAACCCTTTGATTTCATGATCTTTCACATGGTTTTAGTCTTAGTAGGATTTGGTCATAGATGCTCGTAGCAGGACTCAGTAGGACTGTATTGCCGCTGAGTTAGGAAAGCCCTTGGCACATACACTTACAGATTTCTGAGGGTGAACACGCTTTTCGCTCCATCTCTTTTTGGGCTTCGCTCGTTGACACCACCCCAATCAGATCTCCTTCCAGGCCGCCGGAAGCGGCCTCGATCCGTGGGTCCGGTGTGGCGCGCCAGGCGCTCCAGGCATAGACAATTCCACACTGGACGAGCCACCTGCTGAAGCACCGAATACCTGGTCCTTGGACGATGTCATGCTGGCTACCTGGCGGTGCACGGTGAGGTCGGTGGAATCGGTTTTGTTGCGAGCGTCGGAGGGCGCACGTGAATCCAGATCGATCATCATCGATCGATAGATAGCCATCACCACGATGCTCAACCACCACTGTATGTGTTAAAGATATTATATGATATTATATATATATATACATATATCTGATTATAAGGCATAAAGTGGATATAGATTACAAGGCATAAAGTGGGGGTGAGGTTGTTGCTCAGATTTTTGTTGTTTGCCAACTGTCATGTGTGACTCGTGACGGTTTTCAGACCACCCGTTCAGTTGCAGAAAGCAAGGGATTCCGCGAATGCATCGTTTCTGTCAAGATATGGTTGACGAGACATGTTTGATCTCACTCTCTCTCTCTATATGTATATATATATATATTACATACCATCAATGAGTCTAGGTTCATCACCAGACTTCTGTACATGGTGTTCATCAACAGGTCCCATATCATGTGTCCATATGTGTCCCTTGTTGTCATGTTTCCCAACTTTGCAATGTGAAGTGAGATGAAGTCAGTGGGTTTTGCTCGTTTTGTTTCGGAAGATCAATTCACTCCTTCCTAGGGCAAACCCTGGGCTCCACATCTCTTGGCTAGGAAAAAACTCTTAGACGCGGGCAGATGGAGGAAGATGCATGCAAGATCATGCAAGGATGAACATTTTTCAGGCAACCCTGTCCTCGGAGTCGAGAACCTATGATGTTATTCGAACAAATTATGGATGCACTGGTGGCCTGTGCAGTTAAGGGCAAGATCTTTGAGAACCTTGGGCGCGCCTTGGAAGGCTCAGACGGACCTCAGTTGCAAAGGGGTAAATGTAATGTAATGTGTGATTCAACAAGCCATTGTCCATGCCTTTGGATGCCTTTTGGATTTTTGGGCATTACAGCAAAGAACAAAAACGGAATAGTAATGAATCATATACATCTCACCGTCACAGGAACTATCCCTTTGTATCAACTACGTACCAGTTCTAATTCGTTCTTTGTGCAACTGCCTTTCTTAAGCGGCTCTACACCCCAAAACGGTTGATACTGATCTTTGCCGTGGTCCTGGCAGGTGCCGGGCTGGAATCCATGGATTCCGTCCGTTCGAATCCATTTCTTCGGTCAGATTCCTCTTGACCAGTGAAAATGGGTGCACCCATACTGACGCCGGCGTAAGTACGCCGGTGCCCCGAACTCGGGGTGGGGAGTTGAATCGGATTTCTGTGAACGTGACTTCAGACATTATTTCCCATACACTCCATGTAGGCATATATGGCATACATGGAGCGTTTGGGTTTACATTGGACCCACACCAGAGTGGGCGTGGTGAATGGACACCCCTTAAGATCTGCGAGATGTCTCTTTTTTAGGGGCTGGGGCTACAGTATAATGGGCACCCCCTGATCGGCGGCTTTGGTATACAATTGCAGACACATCCAGTGGCCTCGGCTAGTCCGTCCTCCAACCTCGGCGGACCTCGTCCTCACCGAGGCAAGGGCTCGATTCCGGCGATGCGCGCGTCGCGGCGGTTTCGCTCCGTCGGCCTAGCGGTGAAGAACTTCTGGCAGCAGGCCGTCTTCGTGGAGGCGACCAGCGTTCGGCGACCAGCTCGCGGCGTGAGGGCGGAACGAGTGCGTTTAGGGGTGGTAAAGCGGGGGGAGCGGGCGGGCTCGGATGTGCGGCATAGGGCGCCCTACAAGGGCGGTGTTGTAGAAGGGTTTGCGGGGGAAGGAAGGTATTCTACACGTTTTTTTTGACCGTTTTTGACTCTAAAGTTGGCAGATTGGCTTCAGACCATGCCCCGCCTTCAGTCCACATGAACGGCTTCTTCACTCACTCACTGCTCGACCGGGCGCTTTTAGGCACCGAGCGCCGAGCGCCCGCTTCGCCAGGAAGGCACCGAGCTCTCCAGTGCGGCGGAGCGGCTCCAAAAGCGGCTGGGGAACTTCGTGGAGCAACATGCGCAGCAGGTGGAGGAGATGGCGCTGCGCCACTGGGAACGGCAAAGATAACGCGAAGAATCGCGTAGAAGAAGATGAAGAATCCGGAGCCTGTTTGGGGAGTTAAAAGGGCGGAGAGAAATCCAAATCCTTTCGAAGCATCAACACGCCGGTTGCTTGTAGTTGTTGTATGTTGTTGCTTTTGATTGTTTTATATGGTTTTTTTCATGTTTTTTTCGATCTTTTTCGCATTAAGCACATGTTCCACCTAAGGGTGTCCGGCTTGACCTGCTTGTTGCGAGTTCTTGCCCCCTTAGGAGCCCTCAAGGGCGCTTGAGGCGCTCCGTTTGGGTATGGTAACGGGGGCGCTTTGGTTTCGGCGCAACCTGGGCGTTCATTTGGCAACCTTGGGTTCTGACAGGAAGAAAGCCCCAAAGACGACCAATGCCGATCAAGCAGCGAATCGAGCAGCTAATTTGTAGATGTCTCTGAGTCGTTATCAGCTATTTTTGTTCCACAATCCCGCCCACACCTGCCTACCACCTGGCAAGAAGCTTGTTGTAGCACCAAACCCCACCTTCACAGGGTCCCAGGTGATGCTGGGAGGAACCGAGCGGGGTGAACACCGGCCAAGGCAACACGGCTGTGGCTCCCTTTTGGAAGCAAGCAGCGGAAAGCCTGTTGAAGGTTGAGAACTTGCAGAGGTGGAGCATGGTGGAGCATTCCACAGATCTCAGCAGTGAGAGCGGTGCAAAATGTTTTTGTTTGTGTTGAGTTGTCCAGTGAAGGATCAGCATGGCTGGGCTGATTTGATTTGGTAGAAGATCGGAAGATCCAGGGTGTTGAACATAACTAAACCCACCGCGGCATGGATATGGGGGGGCTATAATGACTGTTTTTGATGCTTCAATCATCGCTTGTATAACCTTGTAGAATACTTTGAGGTACTTTGAGTTTCTGTTTTTGAGGCATGCCTCTGAGAGGGTCCTGACACCGAGCCTTGAAAACCCTTCGATCGCCAGGTGCTTTACGACGTCGTGCTTTACGGCTTTGCAGCGTTTGATCCTGCATTCCTTCAAGTCGCAGGACCGAAAAACATGGTGAGATCCACTTGTTCAAGGCAGAACGTCTCTCCACCAGATTCAGCAGAACGTCTCCGAGACGTGTTGAAAGGGGCCGGACCCTGACAAAGATGACAAAACCCCAATGCAGAAGTAGGCGAGTTTTGTTGGAAACCCGATGGGACGGGCATGGACTGCCAGACTGCCAGTCTCATTGGGGTTGGTCCCAGGGGTCTACGTCCACTCCCATGAGTCCTTCCCATGGGTTTTGGATCCTGGGTCATGTCAAGGACCTCCGTTTGGGTCGCGTTTTTTCGCGGCTTGTGACCACAAACCGGCGTTTTCAACGAGGGCAAACTACGTTCGCACGTGGAGAAGTTCAGGAATTGAGAGCAAAACGTGGTGATGCTATGCGATGCATCTTTGGACACAAAAGGATTGAAGCAAGGTCCAATCAACTGACCTCCTTCGCATCTTTGTTGAGAAACATGTCTTTCTTGGCGTGTTCACAACCTGCCAACTCCTCGTCGGTGATGCCAACGCAACCCTGACCACTGCGTTGTTTCGCCGGTGCGATAGAGGAGCTTCATGCCATTACCAGCAATGGCAGGCCCGGCCGTGGAAAGACCAGGATGGACACCGGGATGGTTGCGAAAGTGCTGGGTACCGGGTGCTTGAAGGCAGATCGAGGGACGTAAAGATGATGCCTCAGCGGCTGAATCCTGGTTGATCTTGCATGGAAACAATCTGACCTGGACTATCAGACGGCACATCAAACCCGTTCAGACTATCAGTGACTATCAGACTATCAGAATCTATCAGACTATAAGCCCTGAGTTTCGAGAATTCTTAAAAACATCTTTGAAGATGGCGGCTATCAGACCCTTAGGACAGTCAACTGGACAGTCCAACGGAGCGGTTTGGTCAGTGACCAACGACACTCGACGCGTCCGTCGGTCCCATGATTCGTTGATGTTGCGTCGGTGGCCAAGCGTTCAGAACAGCTGCAGACCTGCTTGGGATGCGGACGTTGGACCGAAAGCCCCAACGAAAGCCACGGGCTTGGTCGGACACGTCGGACACATGTGAACACCAAATCCAACAATTTGTCCCCAACAGACGGTGCAGCCCCGGTGCAGGCTTTTCCCGAAGCTTGAGCGCCTGGAGTTGTTCCAATGTTGGTTGGGTGCAGGCAACTTCCTCGATACTGGGGCGAGGAGGTTTTGTGGGGTTGTTGTGTGGATGCGGAATAGGGGTGTCTAAGAAGAATTGAAGTACTGGTGTGTCCTATTACCAGTTACAGTCGGTAAGAGACTAAACTATCACTATTTTGGAGCAAGGTTCACTAATCATCATCATCCACTAATGATGGCTGATACTGGTACTGTACTGGTTTATCATATCATATCATACACAAAGCTGAAACATGTTGAAACAGATATATAGCTTGTCCCAGTCTAGCTGCCTCCAAGCTCTAGGTGTTTGGATGGGTTTGTTGCGCGTGTGCCATTCAAACAGACAGTTCCTAGTTGAACCTCAGGGCTGCTCCAAGAACCAACCCGCTCTCCCTGCACAGACTGTTCCAAAGGGTTTCAACATATATGTTCAACTAAGATGAATGTATTCTCAAGCTTTCAATCCCACGCACCAAAACAAACATGGAATACAGCAGTGAATGTGCGATGCTGCCACTGAATGCCCCGATCACGGGTTTCAACCCGTAGCAGGGTTCACAGAGCACCAACCGTCGCCACCGCTATACGCGGCAAAGCATCGTTCCTTTGCGTTGGGAGTGTCCGTTGGAACCGCAGGACCCGTGGGACACCGCAGAGTCGACAGACCCGTGCGTTGGTGCGCCAGGAGACCCCGAGTGCCAATGGGTGGTAAGGGGTGGTTGACCACCCAGCGTCCAAAGAACACCCTTTGGGGTCTCCTGGGGGAGGTTTCTTCATATTCTTCCTTAGACTTTGTTTGGGCGGGTTGAAGGGGTCTGGTGTGTGGTAGCTAGCTGAGGACTTAGCCGAGCTTCCAGCACTGTCCTCGCTGGGCATTTGGGGATTGCTCCTTGGCTTGAAGGCTTTTGGGGCAAAAAGTTGTTGCATGAGTTGGAAGACGACCTCTAAGTCTGTGAAGGCTTTCTTCTACATACATACTAACAGAACAAAGGACAATTCCAGTCCACAAGCTTTGCAAAAAGAGTTGCCACCCGGTTTTTGTTATGCAAGAACCTGGGTTTCGCGGCTTAGAACATCTTCAGTACACAAGCTCTTCAGACCATACCATCTCGCTTCAGACCATACATTCTCGCTTCAGACCGCTCAGGAAGAACACCCAGATTTCTCTACCTGATCGTTGGCCATCCTTCCGTCTCGATGAACTTTGCTTGGACCCCGTGGAGGCCACTGCCTGGCCACGCTTGGGAGGAGCGACCCGACCCTTCTTGTGCTCAAGCCACTTGAGCCTTCTTCTGGACGAAAAAACCAGGCCCTGAGATGGTCCTTTTGGTTTAGGGGGGGGTTCTTCTTAAACCAAAAGTTCGGTGAAGTCCGAAAAGCTACACTTCATTACACTTCCTTATGGCTCCACGCCTTGGAGAGCGCTCGGCAGGACCTCGCTCCCTTCAGCGCTTGCATCTCTGCACCTCGCGGCCGCGCCTCGCGCTGGCATCGGTGCCCACGTCCTTGCAGGCGGAGAGCGGTCGACCGACCGTTTCGTACGCCCCTTCGTTACGTCGTTTTCTCCGAACGCCGGGCGTGGACGGGGGGACCGATTGGTTTAGGGGGGTCGGAACTGGGGACGGCGGACTCCGTCGCTGAATTCGGCCGGAACGGGGTTGGAGTTCGGACGGCGATGTGGTGGATGGCCCCTCATAAGCATCTACTCAACTTGCGCGTTTGGGGTTACAGTGGATTGAGAGTAGATGGCACAATAACCAAAAGGTGATTTATATGGATCCCCATCTAAAAGACATCTTGGGGTTTGTCCCATCTACTCTGAAACCACTGTACGTGCTTCTATAGTCTATTTGTGGATGAGCCCAGGTCCCGATCCAAGACCAGCATTGGAGTAGTCCTTGGAGTAGCAATATATGTAGCTTGATATAATAGGGGAGTTGAGTTGCCATGATGACATCTCATGTTGCAGAACCTTCCGCCCTGCAGATGCCCTCACATGACGGTAGAAACTCATTATCGCAACACGCTGCCCCTGAGGGTTATTACTCAATTGAACAACAATCACCATCCTAGCACAAGTACAACACCCCAGCTCTATCTCAAAGGTCAAAACAACCCTGGTAATCTCCAAACCTAGGGACTTGAGACCCTCCAATCTGGGGATTGCCCTCCCCAGAGATCATGACCAGTTCGGGGGTTTGCTCCGCTCGTTCTCGCTTGGAGCACGTCAGATGCTCCGCTCTCTCCGTCTCGGACGACTTCAGGTCCTGTCCTTGACGACTTCAGCCCAGGCGAACACGTCCCGACGCACCGAGCGGAAAACGGGCGAGTTCTGGGCGCTCCGAAGTGCATCCGACTGGTGTTGAGGAGGGTGCGACGACCCCAGAGCAGGGGATCCCATTTTGGAAGCAGATAGAAAGGAGCTACGGGTGGAACACTCCCACCACTGGAAGTAGTTTGGACACAACCCTGCTCAGCCCAGCAGAACCTCTAACCTGATCTCCTTGGTACGACTGGAGAATTGCATTCACTTGGTTTCCAGGTCGGGCGTACTGAACGCCAGCTCTCAGTTGTTTGAAGCTCTGAGAAAACAGAATTAGATTGTATATAATGAATTACAGTAATTAGGTGTTCTATACATATGGCATCCTCTTCATTGAAGAGCTCGCATCTTCTTGCTAATGCTTTCGCGTGTTCAGCGTAGATGACACACGTCCATGGATATTGGATATGGACTTGAACATTTAATTTGTGTGAAGCCTTTGTGGTGGTGTTGGCTCTCAAGAGAACAGAGCTGGGACAGCAAAAGACAGGCACGCAAGGAGAAGGTTGTGAAAATAGATTGACCCATCAGCGCAAGGCAACATGTTGAAATCATGGAGGTTGGGAGGCACTGGAATCTATTGATTCAGGACTTCTTCAACCCCCTTCACCGATCCATTGCCTTAATTCTGCATCAACTTCATCATCAAACAGTCATGCCTTGGTATTGATTTGCCCGATAAAGACGCTGGGGCTGTCACTGACTCATTGAACGATGACTTTTTTCCTTGATGGTCCGGGCCAGAAACTATTCAACTATTCTTTCCGAGTTGTCAACATTGCCAGTCCACTACAGCAATGCTGGTATGGTACACCGGTACACCATATATTTCATGACTCATTGGTCTACCATTGATGACTTCTGGGGGTATTTCAATGTACTTCAAGTGTTTGACATCAACCATGTTGGTTCATCAGAGATAGCACCAATCCTGGTGATGCAACAGGCAGCAAGTCACCAGGACTGCGTTATGCATGTTTTCATCCTGGCCAGCGGCCAGGATTTGAGCAATCCATTCGTTGAAGCGTTTGTTCTCCTGGACGAGCAACTCAAATGCACGCTTTCAAGTGGTAAAGTTAAACTCCCGTGTCATATCATAAAAGACAGCAGTTAGAGTAGAGGACTGTATATGCACATGTGATGTGGGAAAGTCGTGTCTGGCACCAATCCGAAGGGAAAGCCGTTGGAACCAAGGCACGTGCAACAACTTTTGCCTTCCTTGCCCCAGCTGGTGGATTTGGTTCTCAGTGGTCATGTGAGACTGGGACCCTGCAGCCGCTCGGAGAGTATGGCTGAAACATTCTGCATGCTGCTGTTGAGAGGTCTACACTCTGACTCACTAACATGGAAGTGGAAAACCAATGAAAGCCACCTGTTTGTAGAGGAGAATCGTCTAACAGGGGTCCATGCCACTTTCACTTCCGAGACTTCGGAGGTCGGCGGTCCAAGCAGACCTGGGAGGTCCGTGTGGACGTTGAGCAAACACCACCCTGCTGAGAGCTCTCGCAGGGAAAGCATTCGGGTGTGCATTAAAACGGGGAAACTTCCCAGTTCAATCCCCTGGAAGAAGGAAAACAGACCAGTCTGCCCATTGTCATCAGTGCACAGGCCAAAACAGTTGTCGGCTGTACGGCTGAAAAAGATGTGGCCCCCAGGCAACCAGCAGGTCTTGGTTTACATGTCCCATTACTTTACATATTAGTTACAAGAGGTTTGTTTGCTGGCACCCTGCTCTTGGAGCCACAGCCTTTTTGACCCAATCTCGGATTGTCGTTGTTGGTTTACTTTCTTTTTGCTTGTGGGAGTCAAGTCGACAAGTGTGAAAAGTTGTGGCAGCCTTTCTCACAGAAGAACATGATGGGTTACATGTCATAATCTTATAACAACATTGGCGTCTACAAGTGATATGACGACTGGTCACTTCATTCAATTGGAGTCAAGTTGAGTAATTGTAGGCGTTGAGACTTTCTATTTGTTTGGTGATGAAGTAGAAGTTCCGGACGGCCATGGACAGGGCATGCCACAAACAACAAAAGAATAACACATCCCTGTCACATCCTTTGGTCGTTTTTGTGCTTTGCACTTTGGCAGCATTTGGCTCAATGCAGATGCTCGTGGAACCAGTGACTCGGATAGAGACCCCAGCCTTGAGTAGCCTGGTTTTATTGAGCATGTTTGTTTGCGTTTCTTTAGTTGACATGTCTTCTTTTCCTTTTGGGTATCCCGGCGCCCCCTTCCTCTTGAGCGATTCTCTTCGAGAACTTCTTCCGGGATCTTCCTCATTGGGTGGGAGAGCCACTCTTCTTGTTTTCCCCTTAGAACCCTGCTGCATTTTCGATCCCAGGTCGTGCTGGGGCCTCAGGCATATCAGCCAAAGCTGGCGTGGAAATCACCGATGCAGCGCAGTTCTGGCCGGAGGGTCGCATCTCAGCCGCCGGATCCTATCAAATCCGACCGACGCCCGGAACTGGAATGCAAGATGTTTGTTTGCTTTTGGAACCAAGTGACCAGTGACCAGGACTCCTCTCTCACTCTCTCTCTCTCTCTCTTAATAAATGTATGCACTGTACATATATTGCAAGTGTGTATATATTAATTATTAAGGGTTTCAAGTCCTGTTCATGATCTCCCCACCCAAAAGTCGGAAGAAAAAACATCCATCCCCAGACACACACTGACCTATGTGGACAACTCGTGCTTTGAACCTATGTGGGTCGTGGCTTTGGGGGGTGGGAACGTGACCCTCCCCTCCAAGAGTTGTTTAGGACACGAAGGGGTCGGAACTCTCATTTGGGGTCGGTTTCCCCTGGGATATGCCTGGATGATGGCTGTTTCGCCAGGGCTCCATCCTTTCCTTCTCCGCCATTGACCGTCTCCAGTGGGCCCATCGGTCCTAGCACTTCCATGCGCTTGACTCCACCGGCAGCGCCAGTTCCGGCAGCACCCCTGGCAGCACCAGCACTGCCCATGGCACCAGCACTCGCCATGTCAGCACCGCCCACGTCAGCACTGCCAGCACCACCCGGCAGCTTTGGCGTGACCCGGAGCAGCGGCCTGGGCCCGCCGATCCCCACGACCAGCGCCGGTAGTGTCCCAGCGGTGCCCTTGCCACCCTGGCCGGAATTCCGCTTCACGGCCGAGTCCCCGAAGGGAGTGCCCAAAGAGACCCGCCGGACGGCTGCAGGGGGAAGGGAACTGAGAGATATGGCTGCAGATGTGAGGAAGTTGTCCCAAGGACAAGAGCAACTCTGGCAAGAGTTTGAGCATCTAAAGCGAGAGGCTCAACATCAAAACCAGTATCTCTCTCAACTCAAGGCGGGGCCTGCAGGGTTCACACGATGTCATGTGTTTTCAGGTGTTTCTTTTGTCTTGAACATCACAATCCCGAACTTCCTGGGTGTCAATACCAAAAGAAGAGCACCACTGCCGAATGTTTGAGTTCCACGGACCCCCACAGAATTCAAAAGGTGGACTATAGCCGAGAAAAGACTCCTTTAAGCACTCAGCCTTGGGAGGTCGTCATATGTATTGAATTGTATGAAAGCTGCTTTCACGGCACAGCCGCTTAACCCTTTCCAGGGCCATCTTCGAGCGCCAGAGCGCCCGCAGTCGATCGAAGACCCACCCCTTCGTGCTCGAGCTCCCTGGGCCGCGTCGGCGAAGAGCGCGCCGAAACCGACGACGGACGCTGCGGACGGGGAGGCGGGCGCCGGGGAGGCGTCGCCGGAGCCGAAGAAAGGCTGGGATGACAGCTTTGCGGATTGCTTGCTGTGCGGCAAGTGAGGCGTTCCGTGGGGAGTAGATTGAGATATGTAGCATTATATGTAGATTATGATCGATGAGGCCGTGGGATGGAGAAGGAGGAAAGTGACGATCCAGTGATTCTTGGATGCTGTTGATTGAACTGATTGCTTCTTCAAGGTAGTTGGTGTGTGTGGGTGTTCCTCATCAGTCTCCAAGGCAAGCCTTTTGAGCCTCAGCAACAATGTGGGAGATGCTAGGGGCCGACATGCAATATGCTACTGGCCCCGATGCTCTTGTACGTTTCATATTGGTTTCTAAGAAAGCTCCTGTAATCTCAAAGGGTGCCCAAACAGTACTCTGAAAACCCCAAAGATGTTGAGAAAGGAACGATATGTACATGTTTTCTCCATTGGCAGACCACCTGGGTACTGTAAGAGGACCCTTTGATACTTCCTAAACATGCTTAAACAGCAAGGCAGTCAAGGCTGCGTTAGTTTACTCGCAGCTTTTTGCCAGCAATTCGGCTCTCTTGTAGCCGGGTGCATGTGATGGTTGCTAATGAAAAGGCGCCCAACACAGAGAGATAGACCCGCAAAACACAACCTCTCCAAGTTGACTTCAGTCAATCATCGGTGGGAGGACCTACTCGGACCCACTCGGACCTGCAGACAATGACCGTGATTGGTGTTTCAGCCAGAGCCTGTTGGAAGGGTGATGGGGATGTTTGAAGGGCATCCACTTGCGTGAAGGGTTCAGGGAGTGTAGGTCGTTGATGAAAGAAGATGGAACAAAGAACATGAGCCTGGTGATGTAAAGCTATTCAGGGAGGGGAGTTGATGAATCAACAGTCTATGTTCAATTCCCCACACGTTGTTCCATCCAACCCGGAACTAACTGCAACAACTATGTTACTCTATACTGAGAGGTTTCTTTTTCCCAAACTGACCACCCCAAGGCCAGCGCTGAGTCTACACATCTCGGTGTGTCCAAGCATGTCCGGCCTACTAAGGCATTAGTTGCCTCAGCAGCCATACCAACCTGCGACGCTTGGGCTTGGCCAAGTGTGCTGCTTTGGACTGCGACGAGGCACTGGCCGTGTTCATGGCCTCCTCCTGGCGCAGCCTGGAGACTTAGCAGCAAAGGAGTTGGAGGGTGACCTGAAAGGGGACGGTGGGTGTATTTGAGTGACTAGTGTAATGTGATGGCAGATTTGGAAGGTCATGGATGCTGGATGCAGCCCAACGGTCACCTATAGAATCCTAATCGATGTGTTCAAATGTCACATCGCGGAGAGAAGAAGTGATGGCCGTTGACCTGAGTCTTTCTCAGGATGAGCAGACAGGGCAGGCCGGCGGAGTATTTGGGGGGCACCCCTGTGTGTAATCCCATAGCTGTTAGCATGATAGGTGGGTCGAAGGGAGCAACCTTCTGGAAGACCTGTTTATTTTGTTGGTGTTCGGAGTCAGGGATCAGGGATGGAAGGTCCCAAAAATCCAGTGCCACCAGATTGCCAGCATTTGGGAGACCATGTTACATGGGTTTGGTCGTTCTGTTCTATCTCCAGGGGAACATAGGCGCCTCAATGCGCATCAATTCACCCCGTCATCGATTTGGCGTCCTACCCCGGTTCTGGACCTCGACACCCGCTCGGCAGCATCGACCACCAGCTCGCACCATCGGAGACGATGAATCCCCATCACCACCAGCTGGTATATGTCCCAAAAGGGATCTATCCACATGGCCCCACCATCCACCTGGTTCACGGAAGTGTCTTGAGTTCTTGAGTTATGTATGCTTCTACACTCTTATTCGGCCACTTGGGTATGTTCTCCCATCAGGCTCCCCGAAGTCATGGAAGTGGACCACCACCACCTGTTTGGCATTCAGCAAATCATCATCCGATTGTTCCAGGGATTGCAGGTTCTCCATCTCCACCCAGCAATCAAGGGATCAAGGCACTGTCAAGCCGCCAACACCGCCTGGGTGGTTCCTCACCCTCCCAGGAAGTCTTTGAAGCTCCAGGGCAGAAGCATTTCAAGCTGGATCAGCTCCAGAGAAGTTTTCCCCACCTCCAAGTCCTTGGTCTTGAGACTTGGCCCCTATTCAGCGGAGTCGAGGCGGAGGTCCTTTTGAAGTGGCTTCCATGGTGCCCTCGGTCCGGGTTCTCGAGATGGAAGAGTTCTGACCAGACTCTGGGAAGATTCCAGCGCGGAAAACGGTTCAAGCCCTTCCAAGACGGCTCCTTAGTGATCTGCCGGACTGTGGATGGGCCAAATCGATGTTAGATTTCAGTTGGGTGGCTGATGATCTGGGTGCTCCTAGGATTCCACGTTAGTTCCTCAAGCAGGACATTCCTTAGCTCGACCCCAGGCGCGACCGAACGATCTCTTCTGGCTGCGTTTCGATTCGATCTCCGCAGAACAAATCACACAGGTTTGGTGCTTGGGCACCCGTATTCGATGCTGAACAATTCGACATATATATATATAATTATATATTATATGTTCCGATTTCCAAGAAGGGGTTCCAACATATCAAACATGATCAAACTTATGGTCCTTCTTTGGCAACAAAGGTTCGTATGTTCGTTTCACCCGTTGCCTCACGTTCCTGCGACCGACAGCATGTGCGTTCGCGGACGAACACGCGGCCACCATCGACCGGACACACAAACTGAAAGCGTCAAGCGTTGCGATCGCCTGTGGAATCGTGTTTCGCTGGGCTCGAGCTGATAAGAATGATTTGTGTGACCATGACCATCATTATATATGTTTAACAGGTAATAAAAATGGTATAGTACAACAACGTACAACCATTAAAAGCGAACGAGGAATGGTTTCATGTGTTTGTTTTTGGTTCGTTTTTAGACACTGCCCACCTGCTCATGGCGCCGTTGCCCGTCAATCAGCGCGACTACGAGCCCTTGGTCCTAGGTGCGGGCCTTGGTCGCTGTTGACCTCTCCAGAGCTGTTGACCTCTCCAAAGCTGAACCCCAGGGCAAGAGGAGATGTCATTATTGTTGTGCATGATTGTTTGAAATCATCATCATCATCATCATCATCATCATCATCATCATCATCATCAT